CAAACAAATAACCTCATTTTTATTACCCAATAATACAGATATTATCCATCCACACTTCCAAACACAAAACCAATGGTTTTAAAACTATCCCATTCAGGTTTAACAACTGCAGACATTCCCACAATGGCTAAAGTCATGGCTCTGCATAATGTATCATCTCACCTTGTGTCTCTCAGGTGCCATTAGGTGAATTCCACAATAGAATTAACCACAACCCAGCATCACATGATCCACCAAGCATCGGGAGAGAGTATACCACTTGGAAAAAAGGGAAACTCACTGATATAAGCAAATGCCACTTTTATTGGAATTCCTGGGATACATTAGCATAATCCCTCTTGAAAAGATAACACTGAGTGACAAGTACACCGTACCCACACACACACACAATATGTTTAACACAAGAAAAGGGAACAGACATGAAAATTCTGCACTGAGTTGTGGACAATCATCCGTTTGCAAATCCATAACCCAAACAGGCATACAATAAATTAAACCATGACATCCATTGCATAGTATCCTACAAATAATAACACTGAAGAATATTAAATTATGAACAAAGGTCTCACAATGGGAAAACAATATATATATTACAATCAACATAATGGTAAAAACAACCTTTGTGGGCCGATTTAGATTTACCCCACCCGTTTCAAAAAATACAAACCCAAATCACTTCACTGATCATGGGAATACAAATCCAAAATTGTACTTTCAAATAATAAAAAGATGGCAAAAGGAAAAACCAAATATTTACATATTTCATAAGCGTCTAGTTCGTTAAGCTTAACGCATAACAAGGGAAACGTTTACATACAACATAATAAATTATCGCAACCCTCTACCCATTAATACCCCAAAGCACTTAAGGGTGCATATTCCCTTTTACAAGCTTCAAGTAATATCCATACGATAGTATATGACAGCAATGCTGTTGGAATCCTCTCTCTTATTGCAGCATCACTCATACAGCACTACAGTGCTCCCATAGTGTAGAAGAAGACGATAGACTTGCACGGCATCAACTCAATAGTGACAGCTTGGTTCTTTGGGCAAGCACTATCATCTCTCGTTTCTTATTTATACAAATACACAAAAGAAAAAAAACACTCCACTCCTTTGGCATCACATGGAGAACACTGTGTGCACCAGTGAGAACTAATCAGAGCACACTAATGTGGGTATATCCCTGGGAACATATGAACAAGACTAGACAGAGAAGAGAATACCCAACACACTACTCACACTACAAAAACAACCAACAAAGAAAAGGAGAGAAAGAGAAAACATACTTAACATACATATATTCCATCATGGTTATACCCTAATATAGGAACAGAATATAGCAATTCATCTTACAGCCCACAACGACTAGCAGAGTCATCCAGTGAATACTCAAAAAGAAAAAAAAAATGATTATCCTCCATTCTTTCAACATATTCCCACCACCCCTAGAAGAAAAAAAAAAAAAATCACTTTTTCCAACTTTATATGTTCTTGTCCAAAAAAAAAAAATCTTCTTAGCACAATCGTTTTACCAATATAAGAGAAAAAAAAAAACGTATAAGGTTTGTACTTCCTGAAAGGATATCAGCAAAATAAAAAAAAAAGATTTTCCATATAGTTTAATATCAATATGTAGAAAAAAATCTTTCTTTCGAGACAAAGAGGTCCCGCTTAAGATTACATTCACAAGCCCAGACCAGTACACACACACGGATAGAGAAGCAAAAAAAGAGTGTATTTAGCAAATACGAGGATCAAAAAGATATCAGCAGAGTCAAAACAAAGAGAACAAGTAGTACAAGTGGTGGGTAAACCTTTGTAGCCTGGCTTTGATCCTTACCTGGCCAGGAGACAATTTCAATATTCATGGTGTTATTTTTCTGGTCAACGGATACCTGGGGTGTTGTCGAGTCAGTAGTACTGCTCCCTGTGGTTTTACCATTATTATTTACTGTAGCAGTTGGTGTTGTAGAGTCAGTGGTACTGCTCCCTGTGGTATGAGCATTATTCGGTTCTGCAGTAGTTGGTGTGGTTGTAGTTCTCTGATCACTATCTTCTGTATTGGTTGGCAGACCCTGGGTATCTGAAACCGCAGTGGGCGAAGGGAGATCTGAAGGAGTGGTGTCAGTTGTGCCGTTTACAGCATTCTCTTCGTTTGTTGGTGTGCTCTGTTTCTGTTCCTCCACTTGGAGCCTGAGACGACTGCTTCCATTCAATCTCACAGTGCACACTTCATCGTATTTGGGGCACTTTATATTTTTACCCACGTACGTGGAATACTCTGTTCCATTTAGTGGAATACTTTCAACCCCCTCCTTTGGGCAATTGTACCATTCACCATCCTTTTTAAGTTGTACCTTAACAACACCATCATCACTGCACTCCACTGCCGCGCACATACCATTTATGGTCACACTTTTTCCCTTGTCGTCATTAAATGTCAGAGCATCAGAATCCAAACACCAAGAATATTCTCCATGTAGCCCTGGCCAGTTCTTAGGGAGTCCAAATGTTATGTCACAGTAAACCTCTGTGTTTAGCTTGAGGATGGGACAACTAGGGTTCCCATTCTTGGGTTCAACACATTTTGCCACACCGAGGCGATCAGATGTACAGGAACCTGCTGGGTACGGACTGCAGGAATTACCATCAGCTACGGGCTTGTCCTTCTCTTTACAAGTAGCCTCGAGAAACTTGCAATTTGCCTTGTAACCCCAACTCATTGGTTCAGCCATCTTGAAATTTCCTCTGTAAAATCCCAAATCTTCAAATGAAGCAATTGTCAGTGCAGTGTAGTAACCAATGCCCTCAATACTTCCATCTGTGGAAACCATACTCATCAACTCATCCTTTGTGTTGCGTCGATTCCAGTGAGATGTTGGCTCCCCTACAGCTGTACGTTCCAACTCAACTTCTTGAAGATCATTACACCCATAATGCTCCCTTGCTTCTTCCAGTACTTTTGCAGATTTGACCACTGTTTGTGTTTTCTTTTCGCCATTCTTGAGAACTTCCTTCATCATATTTTCGTAGTCAAAACCAAGAGCATGTGCGAGTTGATGTGCAATAAAACGAACATTTTCTCGTGTAAAGTGTATCTTACTTGGATCAATATTCATGGCACCAACCACTGGGCGTTTGGTTTGATCATCAATAGCACATGTTACGGCCCAGGTCGCAGACGCAAAATCATCTCTCGGACCAGCAGCCACATACAACAGAAAATCAGCGTCTTGCACACCATGAGATGCACGGTCGCCTGGACTTGTGAAGTGAGAACAAACAGTATGCTCCTTCATATCTGGTACTTTCCAAGGTGTTTTTATCCGCTGAACGAGGAGACGATCAGTGTGTAATTTTATAGCCTCGGGTAGAATTTTGTTGGTGATTGTATTTTTCTTTATTTCGTCTATAACTTCATAGATGGCACACTGAACAATTTGGCCAGTCAAAATATGCTTGAGCTCTTGTTTCTCTTTCACACAGTACTTATCCTCTTTCAGATTTTCATAGGATACATTGATGCGCAGTGGTTCCCATTTATCATTTTCACCTTCAGATGTCGCCACAGTGTACGTCTGCCACGCGCCCTCTCCTTTCTTCGGTAATTCTCTCACCACAACGACAGGAGGACTGTTCTTCTTTTTGATTTCATCATAATTACAGGCATACGCAGGTCCGGCCACAGTACCGCAGATGAACAGTAATAGCACCACTTGGAGGAGTGGATGCCTCATCATGTGAATAGCAAATGTAAACTTGGTGGAAAAACAATTATTTCGACTTGTGTATAGGATAATGGCGAAAAAAGAAAACAAAATAAAATAAACACAGAAAACAATAAAAAAGAGACAAGGCATACAAGACATCACACAGTGGAAAGAATGACATTCACACAACAATACAGCAGGGATATTGTTTAACCTATCCCCAAACAAACACTTACATAGTCCCCTGTGATACTATTATCATTGGTGTCTTACGTACAGCATTGTATGTACTAAATAACTGAACATTCCATCTTTTTGCTTCAGTGTCATTGTTTTCCCCCAATTACACCAACAACAGCATTACCAAGAAAAAGAAAGAATAAAAAACAATGGAACAAACAAACCAGGAGAGGTGCAAAATACTCTTAGGTTCCATTAGAGACCATTCTCAAAAGACCTGGGCGTACCTGTGGAAAAGGGGAGACTGAAGTATAGTCAATTATAAAGAAAAATTTAGTGCATATATAAAATACACAGAAACCCACAAACATATCCACATCACTATTAATGCTTATAAATGTAAAGAACCCGTTACAAGTGCAGTTAAATGAGACCAGTCAGATCCATACGATAGTATACCCACTGCTGTAATTAGACGTCAATGGATGAGCGGATGCACTGCTAAAACATACGCAACAAATAGCAAAACAAAATACGGAATGCCAAGAGAAATATATAATATATATTAGATCCAGCAGAGAATTAAACACATGTATACATCGACAGGAATACTCTCAGAAACAAGAATAACACAACCACAATAAATGCAATATCAAAGGCTACACACATTAACAAGAGCAGCGGCACCTACTGCACGCTAATCAAATTACAACAGCTAAAGTACGTAAAAAAAAAGATTTGTGTGCCACACCATCATTCTCAGTGTGTCTATCGCATAGAATCCTTGAGAGACTTGGAGAAAATAAAGAAAAACAAAAAAAAAGGGAAAAGAAGCAACACATATAATAAACAATACAACAAAAAACATCAGCATAGAAACAACCACAGAAAAACATAAACACATAAAACTTCTTCCCCAGAACATTTTCTATTCAATAAAAAAGAAACCCATTAAAAAAAAAAAATTCCTCAAAAAGAAGCCCATCAGCACAAAAAAAAGCCCAATAATAAAAAGGAGCCCAAATTCATGTTGATTCTTCATCCGACACTGTCATCGTTCTCTCACCATATTATGTGTGTACTCCATTGTATATGACAACAAACAGTGGGATACGGCAGAATGCATACCTGATAATTATTCATTTTTCAGAAAATGAATATAAAATCATAGCAATAAATCACAAGCAATTAAAAGAAAATTTTCCAATGCAGCGAAGAACGCTGAAAAAAAAAAAAAAAAAAACGGTCAATGTATTGCAGTAATATGGGATTCATTTTAAAGGACCGTATTTAGCAAAACTGTTTATTATTTTGAATATGAATGGATCTCTCATGGAACCATCACAAAACCAACAACACACATAAGAAGTGCAAGAGGGGCCATGTGGGAGAACATGATACTGCTGTCAGGACCCAACGCACTCATTACATTTGTATGATTTAGTGTTTCTTCTTTTATTTGGTCCTCAGTTAAGTTTGGCACCTTCAAAGAATCGCTGTTTACTGTGTGAGAGGACTGGTCATTTGCAGCATCACCAGTGTTGGGATAAGATGTGTTTGGAGAAGTAGCAGCATCAGTATTACGACGATTCCTCGATGTATGGTCTTCTTCCTGAGCATCCTTTTCATCTGTAGTGGGAGATGTAGAAGAATTCTTATATTGTGGTGTTGATTGCTGAGACGGTGTTTTTACTTCGTTTGGGAATTGAACTTCATTTTGTGTTTGGTTTGGTCCTTGCTGGCGGTCTTGAGCTTGGGTTGGTGTTTGTATTCCATTTTGTTGATCTTTGTTTTCTGCTCGTGAATCTGCCGGTTGTTGCGGGATTTCATTTGTATCGGTGTCTGCAGGGGCAGGTGCAGCAGGCGTTTTGGCAGGAACGACAGGTACAACAGGAGCAGAAGAAGAAGTTTCGCTTTGGACGGACTGATCCCCATTAACGGGGTTCCTTTCATTGCCGCTGGCGCCAGAACCAAGGGCACTGCTGTTATCATCGTTCGTCCCACGAGAAACACCACCGTTGTGAATACCGCTCGCGCTACCAATTCCACTGCTGCTTCCTGCACTCCTAGAAGGCAAACCGTTGTCATGATTATTTTCTATTCTCGGGTTATTCGGTGAAGAGTTTTGGGATTCAATAGGTTTATTGACCTCCTGGTGTGGTTGCTCTATCTTGGTATCACTAGAGGGTCTCTTCAACGAAGTATCTTCCGGTTTATCTGGATGCTTGTTTTCCGGACTTTCTTTCACTTCCTCCTGTTCAGTGTGTGGCACGTGGGGTTCATTAACAACAGCATCTGGAGAAAATGGTGATCTTGTAGTAGTTTCCTGTGCGCGGACATCGGTGTTAGTCGCTGCTCCTGTTTCTTCATCGTCGTCATTGACAACAACGTCGCGCGCCTCAAGATCTTGTTTGCCACTGTAATACTTAATTTTTAGGGAATTGGTTTTCGGCAACCCCGTACAGACTTCTTCGTATTTGGGACACTTAATAGTTCCACTTTCGAAGAATGAACCTTCCAATTTAACAGCTGCATTGTCATCATTGCACTCATGCCAGATCAGCTCCTTTTTTTTATCGTACCCTTTGAGTTGTACACTCACCTTCTTGTTGGCATTATCACACTTCACCTTCGCACAAACACCACCCATGGTGTGGCTTCTGTGGCCGTTTGGATCACGTAGAAAGAGACCTTTAGCATTTAAACACCGTGAATCTCGTCCAAGAAGGCTACCAGGCAACAGATTCTCATCCCCACCCTCACACACAGTACCGTTCAAGGGTCTGATGATTGGATAACCATCCATCAAGTCATCCATTGTCGTTTCAGAGTCTTCGCCATGAAAATATTGGTATCCATTGGGTAACTGTCCAAGGTTTTTCTTTGTTAAACACATACCAAGGGCAAAACGGTCTGAGGTACACTGCAGGATCTCCTTTTTCTCGTTTTCCTTGCAGAACATATAGGGACGGTCAGTCTGTGTTGGATCCTTTTTTCCTTGAAGAAACTCACAAATAGATTGATTACTCCAGCCCATCGGTTCTGCCATGGAGAAATTTGCGCGATAGAAGGACATTCCATGGAATGCTGCAAGTGTCAATGCAGTGTAATACATGCCGGTGGGTTCACCAATGTATGTACTCATCAACTCATCCTTTGCAAATTCCCTTTCCCAGTGGGAGGGTGTCCACTGATCATCGTTTTCCAAACACAAACCTTTCACTTCATCACCTTGACACTTGTAATGATTCTTCAACACTTCGAGAGCTTCTTTAAATTTTACCATATAGTCAGATGTTCCAGCGCTTCGTTTTTTACTGCATGGGACTGCGTCGGGTTTTAGATATGTCTTGCTGCTCACAATCATGCCTAGCCCTTTCATAAGATCATGTTGAAATCCAAGACCATGAGCAATCTCATGTGCAGTGAAGCGAATATACTTCCGTGTTGCTTCTATATCATACAGGACGAATTTGATGACAGCAGACGTTGGTCTCCCTTGCTTATCTTTACTGCAAATCCCATGGCCTATGTTAGTGGAGAGTCTCGCGTAAATTACAAAATCAGCATTAGGAATTCCATTGGTTTCATGTTCTTTGGGGATGCCAAATTCTCCGCACTCTTGTGGAGGTTTTTTTACACTGTCAGTTTCAATCTTTAGACTTTCTTTCACCTGTTCCACATTAAGGCGATCTGCATGCAGTTTGATGGCTTTAGGCAAGACTTTATTCAAAAGAATTTCTTTCCTTTCCGCTATTATCTTCTTATTAACCCCTTTAACACCACACAGCTCTTCAAACTCGTCTTCTACCTCGTCAGTCTCGAGAAACTCATCTTGGTACTCAGGCGGCAATGCTCCTGTCGTGCAAAACTTCAGCACATCTTCCACACGTTTTGTATACACAGCAATGCGGATGGGCTGCCACTCCACACCAGTCTTAGGAGCAGCAGGAGGAGCAGGAGGAGCAGAGACGGTGTATGCCTGTAGAGCACTTTCTCCTTTCTGTGGTAACTGCTGCACAACAGCAGCCAAACACCCGCAGCTGCAGTACAACAGGAACAGTGCAGCCCACAGGATGTGACGCATGGAGTGTTTCTCCATTTTGTAGTGGTGTGAGAAGTGTGAGTGTTGCTTTGCTAAGGTATACGCAGTAAAGAGAAAAAAAGAAGAGGAAGAAAAGGGAGAGAATGAAAGGTAAGCAAAGACTCTAACAATAGCAGTCAAAAGAAAAAATGAAAATAGAAACATCTAAACACACACAGACAACTGGGAGAAACCAGCCGGTAGTATATACAACGAGAGAGAGATATACCAGGGCTGTTGCATTACCAGAACTCCCACTGTGAAAGGAAACAGGTGATGTTTAATACAAGAGAATAAAAGAAAAAAAAAAAGCAATACATAAATAACTCCACAGACCTCCCCAGCATACATCTCAGCTCCACAAACTCACACATAACAGAAAAAAAAAAAAAACAAAAAAAAATATGTACGTTTATCAAATCCAATACCCATCCTGTCATACACACAAAGCGCAGGGTCAGTATTCCTTTCATAGATTCATCATGCATAAAACCTAATACAAAGACATAAATTAATAGTTTCAGAAGAATAAGAAGAAAAATGTATAAATTACATCTACAAATGAATGAATGAATGAATAAAATCAAACACTTTTTTCCATTTTATTGCTAATATCCCGTTTTCATTTTGTTTCTCAGCTGTACACTCCCACCCTACTCTTCTCATGGCTGCAGTTGACATTCATTCACGTCACTGCTCGTTTTGACAAGTTAAAAGATCATGAAATAAATAAGTAAATAAATAAATAAAGGAAAATAAAAAAAAACACGGGGTGGTCTATTTATAACACAGTTCTTTTGATTTCGTTTCATACGTTTTGATGCATCGTTTTTGTTTGTTTATCTTTCTTTTTGAAAAAGGATGGAATGGGCTACATCTCACCCATCACCACTACAAGGTCCTAATAATAAAATAAAATAAATAAAGAATAAATCAATAAAGAAAATTAATAAAAAGATCAAAGGAGTTGTGGAGTTGATGTTGGGGGGTTCACCGCCTACATTTAACCTCGGATTTCCTGTCCAGCCGGTGTCACCTCAATGACAACCGTACGTCCGCTCTTAAAATACACTTCTGCCTTTTCGCCAACGTGCATGTGTTTCACCGCCGACTCTACCTCTGCATCTGTGCCGTCCATCACGGATCCATCCACGACAACGCGACAAGTGCCCATTGCCGCCTTTGGGTTGTGGCCAAGGTTGGCTGAGAGCATCTTGAAATACATCCCGTACTCCTCCACAGCACGGCGGGCCAACGCAAAGGCAAAGCGGCCCGCATACTCAGACCAGGAGCCGCAGTACAAATACGGCTCGCCAAGCCCCAAGTGGCACAGCAGCGCAATGTTAAATGTCGCCGTCACACTGCTGCCGCAGTAAAACACACATTTGGAGACATCCACCTTCCCCGAGGCAGACAGACTGTTGAGGGCCTTGAGCATACTGCTGCGGCACTCCTCATCGGTGCGGAGGTGTTTGCTCGTCTCGTCCACCACAACATTGGCGTTCCACGGCAAACACACGGCGTTCTCAATATGCCCCGGCACAGTGTCCAGCGCGTATGGACGCACGGTAGTCGCAAACCGATCCCTCAGACGTGAGTCCACCATCAACGCATTCGGTGGCACCTCGTCAATGGTGAGGGCGCGTTTAAAGACAGTGCCGTACGGCCAACTCTCCACTGGGTGGGCCTTGTTCTTCTGCGGGCCCGATTCCACTGGGAGCTGCGCCGCCGAGTACGCGTCAAAGCCGCCATTCAACACATACGCCTCCACATCCAACGCGTGCAGCATCCACCACATACGGCAAGCCCCCATTCCACCGCACTGATCATCATAGCAGAGCACTGGCTTTTGCGGGCTGATGCCGTTGGCCTTGCACCATTTGATGAACACATGTACATCGGGCAGAGGATGGCGTGCGGTGGTGTTGGTGAGGGGCCCGGTAAGGGACTCGTCCACATTCACGAAGGTGGCGCCTGGAATGTGGGCCTTTGTGTACTCGTTTATACCATACTTTTCTTCTACAAGAGAGTATCGGGTGTCGAATATGTGAAAGTCAGAAAAGCGATCCCCAATGTCATCAACGGTGAGAAGGACCTTGCCGGGGAATTTGGGTGTCAGGAGGGTATTTCCGCTCATTGTATCTCTGGAAATGTGTGGGATTGTTTTTTTTTAACTATTTGTTTTCCGCGTCTTGCTAAAGAGAGAGAGGAAAGAAAGAAAGAAAGAAAGAAAGAAAGGAGAGCATATAAAGAATCGGCTGGTAACAAACACACACAGAGACAAACAGAGAGAAAAAACGATAGAGTGAAAAAAAGGGATAAAGAGAAAAGTAGAACAAGAAGAAAGTGTGAGTTTAAAGAATAAAAATAAATAACAAAACGGTGGTTCTCACACGGAGTCCATCACTCCTCCAGAGTGAAATCCGTGTTACTGCTGGGTCACCACGCCTAATAGTAATAACATCAAACACTAACTGACTGGTTTTCTTCTTACTTACTACTCTTTTAACACGCCATTTTCATTTTGCCACACTCTCGTCCAGGCAATATTCCCGTTTTCTCCTGCCCATCCATTGCAACCCTCTCACTCTGCAGAAGAGAAACAGAACAACCAAGAGAGCAAATAAAGAAAGAAAAACGCATTTTACCCTACTACGTTAATCCACCGCATATGCTGTGGTACAATACAAAAGCAAAAAAATAAATAAAAAAGAACCTCTTCCTTCACCCCTCTTCTACGATTCCTATAATAACGTTTCTCATGCACAGTGTCTGGTACATGAGAAAGGAAATGAGATAAAACCCAGTCCATATCCATCTACTCTGCAAAAAGAGAGATATACATTTAAAACCCCCTAATATCACCCCCCAAAAATACCCCTGAAAAATAAACTTACTATATTACCCCTCTATCCCCAACTACAACCATAGACATAAATATATATATACAAATAGATACAGAAAGAGAAAAAGTAAAATGTATACATATACATAGACTCTACACTCTACCGTGGAGACCACACTGCTGCTACTAACCATAATAATAATAATAACAGTGATAATGACACTCTTAGTTCCAGTTTCGTACAATCTTGCCATCCCAATTTAACTTATCTCCCTTCTGCATCGCATAGTACCGATGCGTCTTCCAGCGCCGCCATGGTGATCCTGCCTTACCCCAATGCGGATTCGCCTCCCAGTACTTTTCAATTCGTTCCTCCAGCATTGGTGTAAAGTGTCGTGCGAGTCCTTGTACAGGCCACGCTGCTGCCGTCGCTAGAGCACAAATTGTACGGCCCTCCAGTTGTTTTGAAACGTCCAGCATTGTGCCAATTTCTTCCTTCTTGGCGTTACCATGCACAAATCGTCGCATCATCTTTTCCAGCCATGGACTACCTTCACGACAGGGTGTACACTGTCCACAGGACTCATGGGCGTAAAACTGTGAGAGACGATGAATAGCGGCAATGAGATCGGTGGATTTGTCCATCACAATTACTGCGGCTGTGCCAAGACCCGTCTGCACTTCCTTCAACGCATCATAGTCCATAAGCACCGTATCGCATATACTCTTTGGAATCAACGGACATGAAGAGCCACCAGGGATAACGGCGAGAAGATTGTCCCAACCCCCACGCACTCCACCAGCGTGTCGCTCAATAAGATCACGCAGTGGAATGCTCATCTCCTCCTCCACCGTGCATGGACGGTTTACGTGTCCACAAATGCAGTACAGTTTCACTCCAGCATTGTTCTTACGTCCAAATGAGGCAAACCACTGTGGGCCGCGGCGTAAAATGGTTGGCGACACCGATACTGTCTCCACATTCGTTACGGTAGTTGGACAGCCGTAGAGTCCAACATTAGCGGGAAACGGCGGCTTTAATCTCGGCTTGCCGGGACCGCCTTCAAGACTTGAGAGCATCGCCGTCTCTTCTCCGCAGATGTACGCCCCAGCGCCGCTGTACGTGTAGAGATCAAAGTCATATCCGCTACCACAGGCATTCTGGCCAAGATAGCCCTTCGCATATGCCTCCTGGATGGCCCTATTCACACTACGACACTCATTATAGAACTCTCCACGAATGTAAATAAAACCGTAACGCGCTCGCATCGCAAAGCCGGCGACAAGGGCGCCTTCCACTAACTTGTGCGGTTCATGCCGCATAATCTCACGATCCTTACAGGTTCCTGGCTCCGACTCATCGCCATTCACCACAATATAACTCGGCCTCCCATCAGGCTTTACTTTTGGCATAAATGACCACTTCAATCCCGATGGAAAACCAGCCCCACCGCGGCCACGTAGTCCACTTGCCTTCATCTCTGCAATGATCCAGTCCTGTCCCTTCAGCAATAGATCCTTTGTGCGGTACCAGTCACCCCGTCGCTCCGCACTGGCAATATCAGTACCGAAATCATCGTATAGGTTAACAAAGATACGGTCCTGGTCCTTTAGTCCACCGTGTGTCCGCTCCAACAAGGTTGCCGTAGCGGAAACCAAACCCACACGGCGTAGCATGCCGAAAAAGAAAATAAAAACAAATCACTCACAGCTACACCTTCCTTCCTTACTTGCTTCCTTCCTTCCTTGCTTTCTTTATATATATAATATTTACGTCTATACGTCGGTTGGTATCTCTCACCACACCCCACCTTCACTAATCCGTTTCTTTTTTTTTTTCTTTTTTTGTACTCCTTACTGCCCTTGTTATTGTTCTTGTTTTATTGTTCCAGCAGATGTTTCTACCTATGTGTCTCTCAGTGCCTGTTGGAGCAGATTGCCCTCAAAGTATCCCAAAGAGAGAATGGGAATAAAGAAAAAGAAAAAGAGTGAAATCCCAGAAGGAAAAATATTCTCACCACATGACATAAAAAAAAGAAATAAATAAAAGCAAAATAAAGCATCAGGAAAAGAAGAATAAATAAGAAAGAAAATGGTGACCCTTTTGTTGAAAGGTGTATTTTCTTCTTCTTTCTCAGCACATGTGGTGCTGCTGATCAACGATATCATTGTATGTGTACTACGGCAAATCACATACATAGATACATACAGAGATTTCCTTTTCCCCTGTATACTTTTTTGATGTTCCCCCCATTACCCTACTCTACTACTCTACTACTCCATGTTTTGCTTCTCCCCAACTTTTAATTCCGCGTGCAAGCTCCAGCGATTGGCACATGTGAAACTGCTCCGTCAGTTCTACGCATGCTGGATCCCAGAATCCACGCTCCTCAATACACGCCTGCGCCTCCGCACGCATACTCACGCACTTCTCAATCTCCGTCTGCTCACGAAGTTTCTCTTTAAACTTCTCAGGCACATCCTCCCACGGCATCTGCCGGCCATTCCCAATGCTGTACGGCGTTCCACCGCCCTTCACAACAACCATTGCTATAGACAGAGGCACAGTAAGAGAGAGAAAAAGAGACAAACACAATCACAATCAGGGGAATAAAGAAAAAAAAAAGAAAGAGACCTAGTGATATTATGTGCCCTGGTATTTATAAAGAAAGAGTAAAAAGGGGGAAGAAAGAAGAATAACAAAAAGAGCAATAATGAAGGGTGTACAAAAAAAGAAAAGAAAATGCGAAGGAGAGCAATTGGGAGCGAATGAATCGTCTCCATCGTGCACCTCACTACGGTGTGGGTGCTTCCTGAGTTTTGTTTTCGTTCATTTTCACCTGTTACCCCATTGTTTCCTTTTCTCACCCTGAGTTTTGAAGTTCTTTTTTTTTTCGGCGATATTCCTTCGGAAACAGAAAAGATTGGAGAAGCAAAGTGAACCTACTTCATTTGAGTATTTTTTTTTTCCTTTTTTTCCCTTAAAAATTATGGTCATCTTGATCTTGATATTGCATTTTTTTTTTCTTTTTTTCCACTTCTTGGCCGCCCCTTTTCTTTTCTTTTTTTTTTTTTCTCTTTCCCCCCTTTCCACATGGATGACTGTAATATTCTTCTATTTCTAATTCTCGAGTCATCAAGTCATAAGGAGTAAACACACACACAACGAAGAGAAATATAAAAAAGAAAGAAGGGGTTTAGAAGGCTCCTATTTCAACAGAAACGCACCATGGATCCCTGCTACTACTGCCGTCATTGCTTATGTAAGAAAGACGTAGCGGTAACAGTCAGTGTCGTCATCTTTCCTGCTAATAGAGCAAAAATAATAATAATAAAAATAATAATAAAAACGTGGGATTGTACCGTCATGTTACTCCATTCTCATCGTTTTTTTTTTTTTTCTTTTCTTTTCTTCTTTCTTTTCTTTTTGCATTAAATACAGATAAAAACAACACATCTTCTTTTTTTTTTCCTCTTTAGACAGTGGATTTGGACGTGCATATGTCTCTCTCCACTCCCTGGAAGCTTTTTGCGCTTGCCAGGAATTAGGAAATCCCCACACTATTTGCGCGTGGGGGAGAACTAGCACACACACACACCCCAATAACTGCGGGTGAGTGAGAACCGAGAAAATACCATCAAGAAGAAACAATAAAAAACAAATAATGCAGCAATAGCAGCAAAACTGTCTTTCTTCTTCAAGAATATTTGCGGCACCCCGATTTCGTCCAATTATTCTATCCGGAGAAAAAAAAAAAAGCAAGATGTGGTGTAAACACAGAAACACATATATATATAAATATAGGTAGGGAGATAGATAGAGAAAGAAAGAAACAGGGTTGTATTTCTTCCGTAGTGCTGTTTCTCTTATGTATATACGTGCTCTCTTTCTTTCTTTCTATCTCTCTTCTTCCTTGCGAACAAAACAAACACAATAAGCATCGAACGGCCGAGGAAAACCGAGAAAAAGTAAAAACAAAAAAAAAAGACAAAACAACAAAAAAAAAAACGAAAAACATCATATAAAACCCTAAATATTTTGATCAATTGACTGTCCTAACTACCTTTTTTTTTTCCTCTTTTCTTGTCGTTACCTTTTTCGCAATTCTTTTTTTTTCTTCCTATTTTTCATCCCTTTTCATTTTTTTTTTTTCCTTTTGGTAATGTTTCCCTGTTTCACGTTCCTTCTCAGTCTCAGTTCCACTCCAATTTTGTTGCTGCTGCTGCACTCACAATCCGCGTTGCCTTGTCCTTCCACATTGTGAAGTAGCACACCGCGGCCGCTGCGGACATGCAGGCACTCATGAAGACACACACATACGAGTAGTTCCCATAGTTGCGCTGCTGCAGTTCGGCCTGAATGGGCGGCGCCGAGAAGCCGCCAACAACACCGGCGAGAAACACAGCGCCCATGTAGAAGCCGAGATTGGGTCCATACAACCGCTTCGCCACCAGCGCCGGCATCACGGCAAACATCCCAGCCATGCAGAAACCAATCACACAGAGAAGAAGTGCGAAGGAGATGTAACTGCGACAGAAGGCGAGAAAAGCACAGCCAAGTCCACCAACCGTAGCACAGGCCATGTATGCAAATTCATCTGTTGTGAGTGTGGCCAACCATCCAACCAAGATGGATCCGATGATTTGAAATACACCGTAGAACACAAACACGGTGGAAGCTGTGTCGGTTGGGATGGGAACCTCATCTGCGTACACAGTCCCTGGTTTACCCATAGAGGACACATACGGTACAGCCACGTAGATGAGTGAATAGAAGGCCCAACTAAAGATGAGCCAACACATAAAGTTCCCCATAAAGGCTTTACTGAAAAGTGAGACAAAGAGCTCCCAGGGAGTGAGTTTGTGTGTATGTATACCACGCACAGCTTCCGTCACTTCACTTTCACTGCTGGTATTACTGTTGGGATGTACATTCTCCTCTCTTTCCTCTTCCACCTGTTCATGTTGTTGCTCTTCTTCTCTGTCCATATCGTTCATTGGCTCACCGGACTCCGTAGACGGTGTGTCGGGATCCCGCTTTGCTGATAAAATGGTTGCCAACACCCCAATAGCACAGAACGCAGACATTAAACGAAATGTCTTGCGCCAGCCATACATCACAACCCACTTACCAGCAAGTGATGGAATAATAGCACTTCCAACACCGCCACCGCTAAAGTTGATACCCATAGCGAGGCCTTGATAACGCTTAAACCATGAACTTGTCGCTGCAGCACCAGGTGAAAGCATGCAGGCAGAGGAGATGGACGCCAGCAAACAGTACGAGAAGGTAACAGCCGTAACGCTGCTGGCAAAACTGGAGCTTATCCAAAGTCCGGCGAATAACATGACAGTAGACACCGCCATCATCAAACGTGATGGCACGCGATCAACGACGAAGCCGGCGAGTACACCAAAGGCAGGGGAGAGACCAAGTGAGACGGAATTGCCGAGACTTATGGCCGTAATGGATGGATAGCCAAGAGAGGCATCGTTGTGCATATCATCAGAGAAGATAGAATAGCTGTTGTCAATACCATACGACATGAGCTGCATTAACATGCCAGAAATTGCCACAAGGAAACCAAGTGGGTGGTCCAACGGCTTGCGAGTGAGACTCGATAACATACTTACCTCTTGTGGTTGTTATTTTTATTCCTTGGTTTATTTTTCTTTTATTTTTCTGTTACTTTATTCTTTCTTTTTTTTTTTCTTTTTGCTTACGGAGTCAGTACCACTTTTCCTCTTTTGCTACTTGTTTTGTTTTGTTCTTATTATCTTTTTTTTATTTATTGTATATGTATTACATGTGTAAAAGGAAAAAAAAGAAAAAAGGAAACAAATATAGTGAATAAAAAGTCAAGATGAAGATGCATACATAATTACACAGTAGTTCCCACATTGATAAGGTACAAATATCACATGTATTTATCTTGTTAACGTTTCTCTTGAAGATGCTACTGCTTTTTTTTTTTTTCTCGCTTATGAAAAAAGACAGTAAAAACATTTTTTTTTTTTTTTGGAAAATGACAGGGAACTAAGAAGAATAGTGAGAAAACAGTATGCGCCCAATCACCCATATCACTCGTTTTCCCCACATACAATAATAATAATAATAACAATAAAAAGAATGGAAAAAAAGAAAGAAAAACTGGTCATAAAGAGAAGAGAATAACAAAAAAAAGGTCCCATTACTTCGTGATGCTCCACATAAGTGGTTCCTGTCTACAAAACGGACACGTGCCGAGCATCTGCGCGTCCGACACGCAAAGTATATTCCCGCAGCACCAGAGCTCCACAAAGGCCCCCTCCACTGGGTGCTCTAAACACACACCGCACAATTCCTCCTCCTCGCCGAAGGGTGTGGTTTGACGCACCGTCGCAATGAGAACTTCCGGTTGGGTTTCTTTCGGTTCATTCTCTGAATGTGCAGGGCCCTCCTGCATCGCTGTGCTAAGATGTACAATCATGGGTTTTTTTTTTTCTTTTCTAGTTATAGTCAGTCTTTGTATGAGAAATAATATGTGTATTCTTTTTTTTTCTTTTTCTTTTTTTTTTTTTCTTCCTTTCTTTCTTCTACGCACACAGAAGCAAAGCTTGCACTCTGCACGGTAGAGAGACTAACACAAACAAAAAAACCCGAAAAGAATTTGTAAAAGAAAAAGAAAAAATAACAAAAAGGAGAAAAAAAAGAATACTTATTATACTTACCAAAGTTTGAGATTTTATTTTATATTTTTCTTTCTTCTAATCATCTTCACGTCCCTTGACAGGGAAAAGAAAAGAAGAAGAAAAAGAAACTCAAGTTTTACGTCTTGGTTCCTTTTTTCATCGTGTACGTGTGTAAAGTATAGTTAACCAGCGACTTAATCGATCTCTCATCACGTCCCCTCACCAGAGGCCTCGCGATGTTGTTGTTGTTGTTGTTGTTGTTCTTGTTGTTTTTGCTGTTGACGCTGCAAGTTCCGTTCTCGGTTTGCCACAATAAGTTCTTGTCGTTCCATCTTTGACATCTTTTTGCGCATTGCTTTGGTCTCACTTGATGCCTCACTGGAGTTGAGGTTGTTCTTGTTCGTATCATTATTCTCAGTTGGGGTTTGTGAAGAGGCGGAAGAAAAGTACCGCTTTGCCGCGTCTCGCTTCTTCAGCAATTTGGCGCGGTAATGCATATATTCATTGTTGTCTGGCAACTCCGTTGCATCCATCAACACTCGGAGATCCTGTTGTTGTTGCTGCCGCGCTGCGCAAGACTCACGCGATGGCCGTGGAAATGGCACCGGCGTTGTTTTTTCCATCACGATAAGACGACGCACCATCTTGAGTGAAATGCGCTGCGGGATGTCGCATATTAATGAGAGCGACGGGTGTGTTGGGAGTTCATCTTTCGTGTAGTGTACAGTCGTGGGATACCATAACACCAATCGACCGCCTAAAACGAGTGCCTCTGCGGCGAAGAGCATCAAATCAAGTACAATACTGCTAACAGGATAAAAATTTTCTTCTTGTTGCTGTTGTTGTTGTTGTTGTTGTTCTTGCTGCTCGGCTGCTTTCCGTCGTGGCTCGCGTATACCGTAGGGTGGATCCGTCACAATAGCGTCAAGGAATCCACAGTCCGCAGGACCCGCTTTACTGCACGGACGCCAGGCTTCTCGCCAATTCGCAAAATTTAACCGTACGCGATCGGGCGGTGTGAGTCCGTACAGTTTGAAGTTGGTCACAACAGACGGCGTCTCTGCCTCCTCTGCGGTGATATTCGCCCGTTTGAGGTCCTCTGGTCGGTATGCCCGCATCGCCACCTCTCGCTGTTGTTGTTGTTGTTTACTCGCCTTGTGCCGCAATGTGCCTTTCTGCATGGCCCGTCCATCCGCATCGGCGCCAATAGTGATAGCGCCACAGTGGGCAGCCGCGACGAGAATACCGCCGGTTCCACAGAAGGGATCAAACACATACGCCCCACGGCGTACACAGGCCATATGTACCATCACAAACGCCGGTTCTGGCGGCATAGAGGTTGTGCCAATGTACGGTCGACGTTTGAGATCATATGTAGAAAGCAAATGTTGACGGGGTGACTCTGTGATGAGAAGACCACAAAATGCACGCAATACGCGGCCACATGGCATCCATGATGCTGGTGAACCCGCCGGTGCATTCTCCATCGCATGCTCTATTGCAACACAGATACGTTGTTGCTGTTGTTGTTGTTTTTCTTGTGGTCCATTCTGTGGGTGATTGAGAGTGTCTGCGGGAATGCCCAAGGCATGGCTCACACGTGTTGACAAGGCCGTCTTCTCTTCAACTGTATAGTGGCGACCAATTGTTTCAATACGTAGTGTGCAATGATTAACTGATGATTCTTCTTCTTGTTCCTCCTGGGCGTGATGATACTTCTCTCCCCGCAACCATGTTCCCTCTTCTGTCTTGTCGCTGGAAAGGCAGTCAAGCAACTCCTCCACAGAGGGCGCAGCAGCGAAGAGAAGATACACCGCACGCAGCAACACACATCTCTCAGCGAGTTGGCGCGCCACTTCAACGGAAGGTGCATCAAAGACACAGAACAAAGAAGAAGTAGAAGAAGTAGAAGAAGAATTAGAGGAATTTATGCAGAGCCATGGGGGACACTCCCGTAATTGGATACAAACGCCTAATGTAGTCGCAGCAGCACGTAACTCATCCACACAGAATGGTGACAGTGTTGCGTTGCATGCGAACCATGCAAAAAAAAGCATTTCTTCCCTTTTTTTTTTTTGTTTTTTCCTTCCTTATTCACTTCTGTTTTCTCACACCTCTTTCGCACGTAAGTGTGTGTGTTTTTTTTTTCTCCCCACTTACCAATGAAAATATATACTATATATGTATATATTTTGACTCCCCCCTTCTTCACAACCCTATAGCAAAGTCAATGTCAAAAGAAAAATTACGTGAAAAGAAGAAGCAAAAACAAAAATAAGCATCACATTGGGAGAAAATGCAATTGAAGCAGAAGAAACAAGACAAACAATTCCTCTTTTCCCCTTTCTCTCTCATTTTCTCTGCAAATAACAAAATGTTGTTCGTGCTGTTATTTTGAGAAAGAGAGAGAAAAAAGAAAAAGAGGAAGTTGTTGTTATTGTTTCACTTCTTTTCTCATCTTTTTTTTTTCTTTTTCATAGTCTTTTTTTTGTTGTTTTACTTTTTCTGTATCAGAGAGAAAATATAGTACCATTTCACATGTTATTGTGTTTTTTGTTGTTTTTGTTTCATTCATTTCATTTCTCTGCATGATTTTCTTTACATTGTGTTCACCTGTTTCAGAACCACCAAAAAAATGTCTACACCATCAACCTTCCACATTGTTCCTTCTTTCACTTCTTTTCTTTTCTACAAATAAAAAACGCGGTGCATCATCACAAGATACCCCGGTTTTTACGTCACTCTCCAATGGTATACACTTTTCTTCTCTTCTCTTCTCTTCTCTGCTAATGACTAAGACTGTGCTGGTGGTTTGCTCAGGACGGCCAGTCGAGGATCATCTGCGAGTCGCTGTGCGAGTTTCGCGTATTTTTCACTTGACTGATCAATATGCTTTGCGAGACGTTCATCCAGTGTCTTCATACGCCACGTCGCCTCTTTACAGTATTGTGCGAACTCTTCTTCTTCTCTACCGGCATCTAATTTTGCAGCGTCCACGTTACTCTGGTATTCCATCTGCCGCCTATTAAAGTCCTCCTTCTCGGCGTCCATTTGTGCCTGCATGATGTGTCCTCGTTGAATGAGCCGTTCCTTTAACTCTCGCAGGGCCTCATCCCGCACCTGCCGTGCCTGCTCCGCGGTGAGTACGACATGCCTGTAATCCCCATCAAAGTCGCGTGGGAGTTCGAGTTTTGCGATATACGGGGCGAGATAATCCTTGCGTGAGGCCTCTCTCTCTGCGGCCTCGGCGAGTCGCCGTGCCCGCTCCGCCTCCGACTCCTGCGGCCGGTTGCGGAGGGTGTCGAAGGCGGAGAGCACCCCGCCGGCCCGCGGCTCCCGCCCCGCCCGCACCGTCTCCAGCACCGCCCCGCACTCCCCCATCGACGCCCGCACGCGCCCCAGGCAGACCGTCTCCCACCACGCCAGCCGCTTCCTCTCGTTGTGCTGCTCCAACTCCGACGGCGGCTCCGCATTCGGCAGGCACACCATCAGAGACGGCGAGGGGGAAACGGCGGGGTCGGTGCCAAAGGCAGCCGCGAGATACTCCTCCCCGCGGGCTCCTTTGGTGTACATGCGGTAGGGGCAGATAATGCTGTTCGGGGGATAGTGGAAGTACACCCACATCTCACCTCCACCACCAGGACGACGGACAAAGGCGTACTTCGCCACATCCTCATCCGGATGCGGGTACTGCTCCTCATTACGGTGATACTTCTCACTCATCCGAATGGGATCAAGGCGGAGAGCCTCATCCGCCGGACGATCACCAACTACACTGCCACGTTTCCGACCCACACGCACAGTCGCATTACTCCGCTCAAACGTCGCACTGCGATACCATAAGTGATCATCACGCTTCCGGTAGAATTCCTTCACCTTGCGTAGAATACAACCTTCGTAAAATAACTCCTGTCGGCGCCAAAGACCATCATCACGGGCATCCCAGTAGAATGTCATGGTACGTTGCACTCCAAGTTCATGCGTAAAGAGACGTAACCCCTCCACTGCGGCATCCCGCATTCTACCACGCTCAAACCACTCCTTCAAAAGGCGGAAAGAACTTCCTGCAACAGCTGCGCCAAAACCGAAACTAGATTCAGCCTCAATAGCAGTATCCACCAAACCACCCTCCGTTGGATAAATAGATCGACGACGTAGTTTATCTTCACGGTGTTTAAATAAAATATGTACTTGTTCCCGATCATGATACATGGTATCCGGCAGATGTAATTCCACAACTCGAAGATCCGGCATTACATAGTCTGCATACCAGTGAACCGTAGCGTTGGCGTAGTGAATAACCTTTGGGCCACCAGGATATCGGCTTTCATACTGAGCTCGACTCAGCATTAAATCTTTCACCCATGATGAACACTTGGGTCGTGGTAACTTATCCCGCAAGGTGTAAGCAAAGACATTTACAGTAGCGGCAGGTGCAAAACCAACAGAAGTTGCCCCTGCACCACTACTACCACCGCCCAATGCACCTCCAGGACTATGTGGAGGAAGGGTATCAGCAGGATGATGTCGCCAGCGCGTGCTAAACGAAGTGGAGTAATTAAAGCGATCTATATTATTTGTAGCGGCAAAGAGTGCCACATCGTGTTCATCTTCCTCATCCATATCGAGAATAACACCTTCCCACTGGGTTCCATCATTCAAATCAAGTGAGAGCGCATTTACTGGGGTGTTAAGTGAAAGGTTTACAAAATAGTTTCGTCCATTAAAAACTGCTTCAACACCGGTATAAAAGGCATCCGCTACGTCAGGTGCAATTAATTCACCAGTAGATGGTTCAACAAAGACAGCCTCCTTCTGGCTTTTGCGTCCACCTGGAAGCACAAGTACCCAAGAGTGTATTAGTTTTTCATTGCTGTCTGATCGATCATCTGACTGTTGTCCACCGCTATTATTATCCAGACTGCCTATCGTTGAATGACCCTTTTTCTTCTTCTCTTGTTGATGATGATGTTGTTGTTGTTGCTGGGAATGGCGTTCCATGTGTGATTGTATACCCTCACTATCATCATTACCATCACCATCAGATTGTGACTTCTTCTCCTGTTGCTCCTGTTGCTGCAGGTAGACAGGATCGGGATCATTAACACCGCGAAGCACTGGTCGCTCTCTTACAAGTGATGCGTACTCACCGTTCATCTGTGGTTCATTCTCTTCTCCATCATCAGATTCTGCCTCGTCGAAGAGGCCTTCATCATCGTTCCATGTACGTTTTGAGTAGTCATTCTCGCAAACAAACTTACGGGCATATCCAACAACAACATACGCGTTGTACCCTGCACCAGCAAGTGCAGAGGTAAGCAAGAGACTTAACTCAAAACAGTTCGCAATTTGCCACTGTAAAGCAGTAGCAGGGGACACAACAATATCTGGCAACTTTTCCGGATCGTCAAGTGTCTCATAACGCATATAACCTGCAAAAAAACGGGCACATGACTCCAAGTCAAAAAGTTCTTCAAAAGGAAAAACTGTTGGTTTAATAAATGTACATATTATTTTGCGAGATCGACATTCATTTAATGGTCTGAGTAGTAGTGGAGCACGGTTTGGGAAGTATTCATGATATTGGGTACGAAACAGTTCAACCGCGTTTGACAGTTCTTCCTCCGCTGGAGTTGTGGAGGTGTACGCTGGTGGGAAAGTTTCATTCGGTAGAAGTGTCTCAAACCTTTCCGCCCGCGACATCTCGTACGTAGTAAGACTTCCAGCCATCACACAAGAATATATACTACGAACTCAGAACAATAATAATAGTATATATATATACGTGTATATATCTATATATATCCTTAATGTGGAAGGAGAGGAAGAGACTCGGAATGGCCGTCCAAAAAGGGTAAAATAAAAAAAAAAATACTTAAATTGAATCAGATAGAAGAGCTGAGGCCTAGTTTTACCGCTCACTCACTCACCCACACCTAGTATGAACCCGACTCTCTCCTCCTTTCTTTCTATGTGTTGCTGTCGTTGGCCGCAGCACCTGCTAGAAAAAAAAAGAAAAACAACAAAAACAACAAGAGAGAAGGAAAAAAAAAAAAAGAAAAAGACAAACATCATGGTTCCCACAAAGAAAACAAAAACAAAGAAAAAAAAACGGGGTGAACAGGCTTACACATTACTTCTCACCCCCATGTGATCTTGTTTTTTTTGCGTGCAAATACACACCTTTTTTTTTTCTTTTTTCCACCTATGGTAATTCCCATAATTGGTACAGCCGAAAGGGAAAAACCAAAAGCAAAAATTAACTAAAACAAAACGCATATGGACCTAGTGACACATGCGCTGAAAGAACTGCAACAAAGCAAAAAAAAAAGAGAAAGAAAAAGAGAAAGAGAAAAAGGGGGTGTGTGTTGCCATAAAACACCTTCATTCTTTCTTATTTTTTCATTGTACTCCCTTTTACTTTTTTTTTCTTTTTTTTATTGCTTCATTGTTTGAATTGCTTCTTTTCCTTTTCCTTTTCCTTTTCCTTTTTTTTTTTCATTATTCACCTCTCGCTAAAGTCATCAATCCAGCTCCTCCGGTCTGGCGACGAGAACCGTTTCATACGCACGACGGCAGTACATATCCCAGTAGAAAATCCCCCACGCTGCACTTCCAATGCACACAACAGCACAGTAAAGTGGTGTGACAGTTAAAAGGTTGATAAGATGCGGCATTGCAAAGATACCCTTTAAATCATGAGGAGTAAAGCGCTCGTAGTTCATAAAAGCTGCCTCATTACGTGCTCCTACCTCCGCACCTTTAGCACTTGCTGAATACAAGTGCGAGGAACGTGGATGTGTTTGCATTGGTTGCATCTTGAAATCCTTTCCAACAGCTGCAGCAGAGGCAGGAGTAGCAGTCTTAGCAGCAGCAGCAGCCGTGGGGGTGTTCGGGGCCCGCAACATCCTACTCAACCCAAAAACCCCATTGCTACGTGCAGCCAATCGAATCACTCCGCGTTGCATTTGAAATATGTACAAATTTTCTGATAAAAAAATATAAATGTAAATGTGTCTCCTAATCTATTTTCCTTTTTTTTCCCTTATTTGTTTACTTGCTTGGTAATTTGTGGTTTGGTATACTAGATAAACTTCTTCGCCTGTTGGAACAGAAATGGGTTATGAAAGAAACAAAACAAATGAAATAAAAATAAATAAATAACGAGAGTCATTTCATATTTCCTTTCTTCTGAAATCATAACACTTAATAAAGAAAAAGAAGATATGTATAATACACACATTCTCAGAGACAAACAAACAAAGAGAGAAAGATAAAGTGATTCCATCCATCCATATATATATATATATATATATGTATGGGCATGCATGCACGTATGTATGTATGTATATGTGTATGTATGTCTACAATGCACATATATCTTCCCATCATGGTAGTATCTCGTCGTGTTCCCCCCACCCCCCATGCCACTTGAACCCACCCATCCCCTTACTGCTGCTACAGAACCAGGAGAGGAGAAAAAAAGAAGGAGGAAAACGAAGCGTACAGGGGGAGAAGCTGTGGTATTCACCGTAGCACTTTAGGGGAGTGGTCATTCACTAATTGTCTGTACGAGAGGAATTTACACTACCACTATTGCTAGGGTTTGTGCTAAGGCGATTATTGCTGCCATTGTTGTTGCTGTTGCTGCTTGTGCTATTCGTAGTAGCAGTGCTAATGGTATTAAAAACGGAGAGTGCCTGTGTGGCGAATGCTGCCGGGTCACCCACATTCTGCCCGAGCACGACGGTATTGGTCGATCGTGCGAGTTCACCAAATGTGGATATGTATTTCTCTGCCACTCGCAGGGCGACGGCATCGTTGCTGCCTGGTGTTGTTGTGAGAGCTGCGGCGACTGTACGTAAACTCTCGGCGACGGCGCCTGCGACAGTTGTGGTGGCGACCGCCTCCGCCTCGGCGTTTCGTTGCCGTGTGTATTTCTGCGCATCCGCCGCACATCGCTGGGCGGTCTGCAGAGCCTCGGCGCGATTAACTTCCGCAGTCGCCTCACCTTCAGACTGCAGGACGAGTTGTCGCTTTCGCCGCTCGGCGTCTGCCTGCAAATCCATTGAACGACGCACGAGTTCACTGACGGCGATATCGCGTATTTCGTAACGTTTACATTCAATTCCCCAATCATTTGCCTCACGGCGGAGGACCTCCACAATATTGCGATTCAGTTGGGCCCGCTCACGGAAGAGGGTATCCAAGTCGAGGCGACCAATCTCACTTCGCATGGTGGTCTGCGCCAGATTGAGTAGATTGTATACGGGATTATCAATATTGTAACTTGCCTTACGGGCATCCACAATGCGTAGAAAGAGTACACCGTCAATCTCCACCATCACATTATCAGATGTGATAGCCGACTGGTTTGGGATCTCCACACCCTGCTCCTTCACACTGTAGCAGTAGCGGATCTTATCCAGGAAGGGCACCACAAACCACCAACCAGGATCAAGTGTGCGATGATATCGACCAAGGCGCTCCACCACATATTGACGTCCCTGTGGCACAATATTCAATATTGTATTGCGAGGAACATGTTCCACAAATGCAGCAGGATTTAAATATACACGTCCAGGGCGATTCATCAACATCCGCCCACGATTATAGTCTCCACCACCACCACCGCCACCACCACTACCACCACCAGCATTGTTTAGATAATAACTGGTATTGGCATTGCTGTAGTTGGCGTTCGTGTTGTAGCTGCTTGCACCACTACCGCCACCAGAACCAGAACCTGCACTGCCATCATACGGCATTCCCGCAGGCATTGAAGGACCATACGGGTACGCAAGCGGTACATTATATTGCACCAGACGCAGAGAACGGCGTAGCATGGGGCGCCGAAGGGGGGTAATATGCTAAACAGAATGACTAGGTGTCAACACTAGCAACGAAAAAAAAGGGTGAAAAAAGGAAGAAGAAAAGCACCACAAACAAAATAAAAAATAAAAAGAAGAATAGAAAGAGGGATACCAAAAAAGAAAAAAAAATGTTTACCATATATATAGTTAGAAACATACGAGTATGTACAAAACTATATTTAAGTAATACAACTATCATTCATCACCAAACTCTTCATTCATATATATATATATGTGGAAAACAAAGAGTACGGACCCCAATCAGAGATTAAATAAATCATCCCATCCCACCACCACCCCTTCATGGAGATGATTTGCCTTCTCCATCACCTGTAGAAGTCTTTCCCACACTACTCCCAGATGCCATATTTTGTGTGGCACTCGTTGTTGTTGTTGTTGTTGTTGTTGTTGTTGTTGTTGTTGTTGTTGTTTCTTTCTTTTTTGCTACTCCTTCTGTATTCATACCAGTTAGACGTCCCTTCTCTCCTCCATTCAATGACTTCTCCTTTGCCTCGTAGGTGCGCACGTGCATGAGCAACTCCCTCAGTCGTGTCACCACAATCCCACGTTCCCCATCCGTGAGTACACGTTCATAGTGTGAAGGATGCACCACCGCCGCCTCACCTTCTGTTGCCTTTATTTTCTTTACAGTATTGGCAACAGCGCCGCTAGCGATTTCCCTCTCACGTGCCTCGTGAAGCATGGCGAGATGATGGAGTAACATAGATCGGCCCACGGCATCTAATACGTAGTTTGGTGTGAGTCCCAACTGCTCCGCCGGATCACACGCACTCTCTGTCTCTGTGGTGGGGGCAGGAATAGGCGGCATACACAACAAGCGGAGAAAGTGTGACCAGAAGGCGTCATCCACGTGAAAGCGATAATAACGAAGGGCAAGTGGAATGCATAAACTCTTCATTGGATCTTCTGTGAGATCACCATGCATCTGCGCTGATTGTGCACGGGAAACGGCCGCCGTCACTTCCTTCGCAAACACAATATGCGTTGCACACTCCACAAAGTACGCTAACTCTCCACATGCTATCAAGACACGCCGTAGGAGTAATGGTCTATGATGTGCAAATGTCTCTGCTGTAGGGAAAGATACATATTGCTGTAATAAGGATCGATAGTATATTACTTCCATATCATTTAATGCGGCCCATGTAGCTGCAGCGGTGTAGAGTCTTACTCGATCCTGCTGCGGCACCAGAGGGGCAAGATTCAACAAGGAATTTACAGCCCGTTCATCTGCTCGCATGTTTACAAGCAACACGGCACGCCATAAATAAAGAGATATTACTTCATTTCGTAATTTTTCATTCTCTAGTAGTGGATTCACACCCTCTGCTGCACTTTCACTACCATACTTAGCCTCCGCAGGACTAAACGTATTTTCATAATCTTTTTGTAGATGTCGTTGGTGTTCTTGTTCTTGTTGCTCTGCGGATTCCTTTTGCCGCAATCCTGCCAAGAGTACACGCCCACCCGCAGCCGCCTGTATCTCTGCATCCACCAAGTGTTGAATGCTATTCACAGCCTTTTCCAATTCCTCTGCTTTGGCTAACTGTACAATAGCGCGTATCTGCGGTGTTGGGGCGTCATCCACTTCATAGGCAAAACGTTCTGCAAGCACTTCTGCACCTTTTGTGATGGGCCGCATAGAGAAACAGCATGGAAATCGACAGAGGTGATCATTCTCAACGCAGCGACCATTACCACCGCAGCGGTACATTAAATCAAACACTGAACTCCGCACAGATGCCTCTCGCCGTAATGACTCCGTCGTGGAAGTATTCATATGCGTACTTTCGTTAGTAGTATCCGTGCTGGTGGAAGTAGATCCTGTTTCCTCTGCTGCTGCTGCTGTTGTTGTTGTTGTGGAATTCTGTCCGCCGTAGCGACGTTTGTATACAACTTGACGTAGTCGCATCGCACTTGGAGCTTCTGGTCGTGTTGTAACAAAATCACTGCAGTCAACATCCGCACGCGGTAAACTTCGTGTGGTTTTCAACTTTAATGAATTCACAACACGTGAAAAGAATGACTTCATTGAAGTTTTTCCTTGTTGTTGTTGTTTTTTTTTTCCTTTTCTGTGTATATCTATGCTAATATGTATATGTGGGTTGGATTACTTCACTCTTTCGATCCCTTTCTTCTTGCGTGAACAGGGAACTCACAGAGTTGAGCCGAAAAAAAAAACTAACAGAAAACAAAACAAACAAACACACACACACACAGAGAGACAGACACCACCTACGTACCAATAACTATATAAAGTACCAAAAAAAAAAGAAAAGACAAGAACAAGATTAAAGTAATAATAACGAAAAAGAAAATAAAAAGAGAACACATACTCCATATACAGATATATATACAAATAGAGCAAAAGAAAGAAATAGATAGTGAGAAAGAGAGAGAGAGAGACATATAAATTCATAACAGTTGGGGAAATGACAAATTTGAACTGTGATTTCCCTCTTTTCCTTCATTCGTTCACAAAAACAAGCACAAGTCTCTGTAACTTTTGTTGTTGTTGTGGTTGTTGATAACAAAGATAATGATGATAACGATAAGTATATTATACTTTTTTTTTTTCTTCATCAGCATCTTGACGCTATCCTTTTTTTTTTTTCATTTGGCAACATACCACCACCACCACCTTCACTTTTTCCACCTAATCTCCACACTTCTTTTCTTGTCTATCCCATCTTGTTTCTTTCCTCTTTCCTCTTTCTTCCTTTCTTGCTCTTCTTTTCCTTCTTTTCGTTTCCTTTTCTTTCTTTTTCCTCCCGCTATACAATATTGATATACTCATGCACGCGGTTCATCATCCGCTGCACAATGCAGTCTGCAATCCACTGCAAGTTGTTAATCTCCAGCTCCTTCAGCTTCACCCATGCATAGAATACACCATACTGAAACTGCCGCGTCATGGCATCCTTATACATCACCACAGACATTTCCACAAACCGCTTTTCCAGTGATTGTTTGCCTGTATCCAACAAATTCCCACCGGCCCCACCACGGCCTGCAGTGGAGGAACTGCCGCCTCGAGTATCATCAAACAATTCATGCATATCCGCAAAGCGACGAAGACGCTCCCGCAGTTGTTCCACACTCTCCGAGTCGGCAATATCATCATGAATATCAACAAGCGTGCCGATGTTGGGAAACAGTTTCCGTCTATCGGCCGCATGCATTTCCCGCAGTCCCATCGTGTTTACAGTAAAAGTCAAGACAGCGCGGTCCGCCTCAAAGGCCAGCAGCGGGCACATCACCGTCGCCGTCTCACCGCCCAGTTCACAGCAGAAATCATAAAACTGTTCATAATAGTTCTTCAGCAACACACCACGAATGTATTCCACCGATAACTCATCCAAATCACGCTCAAAATCGCCATCGGCGCTAAAGAAGCGGCCAATCGGGGTGTCAATGAGAACAACATCAAACATCTCCCGCACATCTGCGGCCGCTGTGAGAGTTGCCAGCTCTGGAAACCAACCGAGTGGATGGCACTTCGTTAGTAATTCAAGACTGTCGCGCCCACTACGCTTCGCAACAATCAACTTCAGCACATTCGATATCATATGTTCATAGACAATAAAATCAAGAAATTGCGAGAGTGGAGGGGCGGCCCATTCACGCAATTCACGGAGTTGACGCACAAGGTGTTCCTGCGCGCGGTCTACCACAATTCGTGCGGTGAGTTGCCCGTCTTGTTGTAAGAAATTGCCATAGTCGGTGACTTGCAGTTGGGATTTCATATCATTAAGGGTATCGCACTGTGCCAAGTTACTGTACTCCTCCGGCCGGAGAAAACCATCCTTGTATCCATGCACCATGGCCTCCAGACAGCCATCCTGCACATTGAAATCTAACAAACCACGTCCCATGAGTCTGTAATCGTTTTATATATATATTCTCTCGCTGCTAATAATAATATTTTTTTTCTTCTTTTTGTTCACTAGTACTGTCACTAACACTCGTGATGTTCTTGTTGCTGTTGTTGTTGCTTTTTGTTTTCTGTTTTTTTTTTTTTTCTTCTTCTTTGTTCGTTGCCTCTTGTTATATTTTTTTCTTTTTTCTTCTTTTTTTTTGTTATTTACGTTGCGCCTCGCCCTCGACTCTTGATAAATAGATATCCTATACACGTAACTATGGGCGTGTGTGTATGTGTGTGTGTACACAGAGTCCCCTTTAGGTCTCCTCTTTTTTTCTTTTTTCTTTCCTTTCCTTCTTGATATAATCTCCTCTCTTTCTCTCTCTCCCTCTTGTCGCTGCCCTGCTGTTGTGTTACACGTCCAGCGCAAACAGTTTATTCAGCTAATTGATATTTGTTGAGTTTAACACAATCAACACAAAGTGAAAGGTAAAGAAGTGAAATAGAGAAAAGAAAAGAAATGAAATGAGTGAAGCAAAAAAAAAGTCTGTAAGAAAATAAAAAAAACTCCATGTAGAAACACATATACAAAAAATGAAAGGGAGAAACAAAAAGAAATAAAGAAATAAAGAGAGAAAGAAAGCAAACCAAATAAACTATGCAGCGAAAACATTTACAGGCAAAAAAGAAAAAGAAAAAAAAAGATATCATTTTAAATTCATATCTTGGATGAATCATACGAATATTTGACGACAAGCGTTTGATTCCTGTATTCAATCTAATGACTGTTACTTGTCAAAAGGTTTCTTAGCCTACTATTACAACAATGCCTCATTTTCATTCCTGAGGTTCCTTTCTTCTTTTTTAATTATATTTTCTATTTCAACATCTTATTTTTTCTTCCCGTTTTCCTTTTTTGTTTTTAATTCCCTTGGTGAAAATGCCAAACCGAAAGCATACTTAGATCCACACAAATACAAAGAAAGAAAGAGAATTAATAGAACCTCTGGTTTTCTCTATTTGGTGCGTTCCTTCGTATCCATTATCGGTGGAGTGGAACTAACACCAGCAGTTCTTACACCTTTTTAGTTATGCCTTTATCCAAAGTGCCGTATATTCTATTCTTCACGGTTATTTCTTTCTTTTTTTTCTCACTTCCTCTTCTTCTTCTCCATTATCCCGATTTCTTCCTTTTCTCTGGTAATTGCTACTGATGAATTTCTTTCTTTATTTCTTTCCCACATCACCTTGTTGTTTATGGTTCTATTCCTTTTCGATTCAATTTCTGTGTCCAACACAATAGTTCATCCTCGCTCTATTTTGTGTTCATTTTCTTTCATCCCCTCCGCGACAGTCAATATTATTAGGAATACCCGAAATAAGAAATCATATATATATACAGTAGAGGGAGATAGATAGAGATGATAATGATGGGGGAAAGTAACAAGAAAAAAAAAACTGACAATTGTACTTTCCAAGGGCATTCCCACTTTCCCTCTCAGAAATACTTATGGATATTTTTTAATGGCAGTACTTGATAGGAATACGATAAAGAGAGGAAATGATAAAGGAAGCAGTTCAATAAAATAAATAAATAAATAATACAGAAAAAAAAATACGGAAAGAAAAAAAAAGAGATGGAAACACACACAAAACATGGAGAACACAGAGTTGTGTGCAGAAATATATATATATATATATATATATATATAAAGATAGATTAAATATTGCCATTAAAATTAGTGAATCGATCAACTTTCACTCATGGTTGGTGTAGAAAATGAGGAGAAAATTAATTTAAAAAAAAAAAAGCCAACAGAGGAGTAAATAAAAATCTTTGAAGTACTACAAACTGAAAGATAGATAGATAACTTGATTTAAAAATAATAATAATAATAATAATAATAATAATAATAATAATATAAGAAAGTGAACGAGCGTAACCATGCAATTGTGCATCCTTGCATGAATATATTTCACGCATGTAACTCTTATTACAACGACACGGTGTGTTTGTTTCTGTATTTGTTTGTTTGTTTGTTTGTTTTTCTCTTTCCTTTATTGGATCCATTAGTTCACTCGCGTGTCTGTTCAATTACCGCACATGCGCTGCCTTACTCTGCATAGGATCCTTCTCTAACGATATCTCACACACGCACGTCTACTATACCCACACTTGTGTCATCATTATTACCATCATTAGCATCATTTCGTTGGGTAAATCCGTCCTTTTTTTTTGTCATTATCATTATTGTTATCATTATTGGTATTATTATTACTATCATTATTATTATTTGGTATTCTTTACCTCCTCTTTTTTCCTTTTTCCTTTTTTTGTTCGAATTTTTAATTTTTTTTTTTTTCTTTAGTTGTTCTTCGATGTTCGTACGCAATCCCCTTTCTTTTTTTTTTTTTCTATTTACTTGTATTCCCCTCCCCCTCCATTATCTATTTTATTTATTTCCCTTCTCTTGGCGTCTGTACTTCACACGTGTTGTATCGCCCACCACTACTCTCAAATATGATCTTTTTGTTGTTTGAGTGGAATAGCGGGTGTTATTTGTGCAGTGACTTCCTTGTCCAAATCAATCAGTGCCGTATCGCCAAACTCCGGCCGTGCGTATCCACCCACACCGCGGCCCCCGGACTTACGGCGACAACAGCAGCAGAAGATCGCAAGCATCAACGCAATAATAAGCGGCACCCCAATACCAATCACACAACCAATGATAATTTTATCCCGATCGGACAGTCCACCGTCAACAGTAGGCGCTGCTGGGGGAAGGCGCACATTCGGCACAAGTCCACTGACAATCGCAACACGTGCCTTCGCGGCATCCGTGACGGTTGTGAAACCCACACGAAGAGCGTGAAACCCATCGGCACTTACTTCCATCGCTCTATTTACTCCCATCGTTGTGGACTGCAATAAGGATGATGATGATGATGATGAGGGAATGGGATGGTTGTTGTTATCTACCACAGCCATCGCATCACGTGGAACCCCTGCGGCTTTGCTGATCGCATCCAAGGCATCGGCATTAGAGACCAAGTCGGTTTCCAAGTTCAATGCAGTCACATACACAGGCGCTACCGTTCCACCGCCACTCTCACTCTCACTCTCACTGGTAGTAGTACTGCCTTGGTCATTGGTACTGGCTTGGCTTTGACTTTGGCTTTGGCTTTGGCTTTGGCTTTCACTCTCATCATCTTGACTCGAGATAGCAGGGGTAACACTGGGTTGAAGTTCATTTGTTAAAGTCTGCGTGGGCACCTCAACGTAAGACTCAGAGGAACCGGATTTGCTGTTAACATCATATTGTGCCATGCACACCGCCACTACACAAAGCAGCAGGTTGAGAAATAACAGAAAAAAAGAATTCCGCATTATAGAAGAACGCGTTGCTACGGACATAATTCTTTTTTTTGTTGTTGTTGTTTTTGTTGACTTTCGTGTGAGAGAGTGATTGCTTTCTTGAAGTCACACCTTTTGGGTTTGAAGGGGGCAACAGTGTAACGCAATTTGCAGAATTTATGCGTACAGTCATACGCATAGGGAGAGAAAGTAAAGAGAAAGAAAGGAGGTTAAAGTATTATGAAAAGTAAAAGCATGAACAATAAGAGCAACAGCAAGAGCAATAATAATAATAATAATAATAATAATAATAATAATAATAAGAATAAGAATAAGAAAAGGAAGTGAGGAAAAAAAAAGAGTGATGACACGTGAACAAACCAATAATAACTATTATTCTTATTATAAAGAGAAAAAAATAGCATCCGCTAGCTATTGCGTTCCACTAGCGGTGCTGCAGTAGGATGCTCGTTATGAATCTGTTACTGGTTAGAAGAAGGATATTCGAAAAGAGGAACACAAAAGAGGACGAAAAAAACCATATATAATTTTATTCCAAGTATGTATTCATTCAATTCTCTGTTGGCATCGACCAGCGCTTTTCTGTCCTTGTGATCATCTCTGAACGCTTGTACAACTCCTCAAGTGAGATCCTTTGTACATTCCTCGTAGTCTTTTTGCAGCCCTCATCACCACTGTCGCCACTATCAGAAATACTACTACTACTGCTGCTGCTACTACTACTACTCCTAGTGGGAATAACTTCATCTTCCTTGTGTTCCTCATCTGTCACCCTTTCTCCTGTTCGCTCTCCTCTTCTCCATGTAAGTCCCCCGCGTATCAAGAAATTCTCATAGGAAGATTTCATCCAAAGGCAAACAGCAATGGTAAGCAAGAGTACTGGGAGCTGCATGAACACCACATAGAAAAGTAAATCTTCATCACCAAGATATTGTAAGGAGTATTGCTGTAAAACGTTCATCTAGAGTACTGGTTTCAGATCCTTCTTTCTCTCTCTTTTTTTTTTTATTCTTATTCTTCCCCTCCGCCTTAGTCTCTCTATACTTCCTTTTTATGTTGGTTTAGTATTGCTACACGCAAGCACAAAAAATAATGAGCGCCCCAACAGCAACCTCTACTTCTCACAAACACCAAAAAAATAATTAAAAAAAAAAAAAGTGAGGAAACCAGAAGAGAGATTGTGCAACATAATAGTAACTGCAGCCAGAAAAAGTAGTAGTAGTAGTAGTCATCTGACGCAAACAACCACGAAAAACAAACCAACGAGGGGGAAGGAAAAAAAAAAGCATTCATACAACTACAAAATAAAAAATAAAAAATAAAAAATAAAAACAAACAAAAAGGAGGTCTTGTTCCTCCCCTTTCTCTCCTCTCTACGTTCAATTCCACTCCACCTCACTCCACTCCAATGGTAAAACGCAACTTTCCCTTACTCTCTCTCTCTCTCTCTTCATTCTGTTGCTGTCGCTGCCTCTTCTCTCTTCCACCCCACTACCACATACCCCCTGCACCTGTCCCCCAGGACTCTTCCCAGCACTTTGGCCGCCAGCGGGAAGACACAGGTGGCGGCTGGAATGGCTCGCGGGCCCCTTGCTTGTCAATAGCGCCACGTCCCTCGCGTATATCGCCAAGGTCCGTTAATCCGAGTTCACGGCGGTGGGCGAGACGCTCGTCCTCGAGTCGATCCGTCTCTATCCGAAGCCGTTCAAGTTCCGGTGTAGTGAGAGAGGGCACGGCATCGTGATATGGGATGCCAAGATCTGTACGTTCCCAGTAGTGAACAAAAGGCTCACCGTCAGGGGCGTTCGGGTCTGTCGTGCCCTCCGCCGGTTTACGTACAGGATGCTGCCGCTTGTTCATACGCACCTGACGCTTGTACTCAAGTTCCTGCCATGCCATGTTGCGGAACACGTGGCCAAGCTCCGTGCGCATCACTTCCACTTCCTCCTCATTGTAGAAGAGATCCCCACGTACAAAACCTAGGGTCCACGTCGCCCCAGACTTTGCCTTTGTGGCGTGTTCCTTCTCTGGTTGGTGTTCAGTCTGGCGAAGCGGTTTTGTTGCACGGTGGGCGTCCCCGTATACCTGATCATCGTCTAGTTCTTGAAAGGTTTGCTGTGAACGGTTCATGTGAGCCATAATGCGCATGAGAGCATCCTCTACCTCTTCCTCCTCTAGCACCATAGCACCAAAATACTCTTTCTTGTAGTTTCTACTATGCTCTTCTTCAGCAACACTAGGTGGATCACCGCGGTGACCACGCATCCAACGCTCCCAGAGTCGGTCATCTGTCGCCAGTGAACCATACGGTAGGTGTTTCTTGTTGGAATCTTTACGATACATGCGTCGTTGCTCCTCACGACCCTTTTGAAATTGCCATGTTACGGTGAATTTATTCCCAAATCGATCCTTCGCAATAAGACGTTCCTGTGTGAAAATGTACCGTACATAGTTCCAGTACATCTTTTCCCACCATGTGATGATTCGGTTATCAGCAAGACCAGAAAATGAATGTTGCAACTTCACACTTTTGTCTCCAAAGGCATCCACAGAACGCACATACGGCGATTTAATTTTCGATAGTTTCTGCCGTGCTGCATCTGCTGCCTCTTTTCCAGACGTCTCCTCCACTTCTCGTACATAGTCTTCAATTTTATCTTCTTCCCTCTGTTCTTGCGCCTCCCTCTCTAACTGCAGTTTGGCCTTTGCTGCCAACAGTTCCTTCTCCTTTATGGCCCACGCAATGGCATCCTCCTGTCTGCGCGTTGCGTACACAATCTTAGATGTCAGATCATCCCTCTCATCAGCCATCCCTTTTATATTAGAGAGAATGGTCGCATTCGTCAAACGATAGCGTTTGCTGCACCACAGAGATGAAGACGAGCTCACTGAAGCAAACACTGAGTTTCTGTAAAGGCGACAACCGCCATGTCTACCACGCGATGACGGCACTCCACTAAGTAATGGAAACATGAACTATGTACTGTTGCACAGAATTGCTTTGAATTTATTTATTTTGTTTTTCTTCTTCTTTTCTTTGGAAGAAGAAGAAGGGGGTGTGAGAAGGAGGGGTGAGATTGCCTCTTCAGGGGGTCAAATACTTAGTCACTACTCTCGTTTTGTACGTTATGGCAGACACAAGTCTCCTTTTTCGCTCCCAAGCGTTTTTGTACGCTTCTTGGACGCCCCTGTATGCCTTTATTTCTCTTTCGATTGGTTGTTGCTCTCGTGTTTGTGACTGTGTATTTAATAATATGTGAAGGAAATAAAAGTAAAAGAGAAAAACCACCGTCTCTAGTCTTCCCTAGGCGTTTTCAACCGACACAGTAAGAGAACTAGGACAGACAGAGAAAGTCCCAATGCAGTAACAGGAGGAGGTGGAGGAAGCGAAAATAAAAATAAAAAACGAAAACGAAAACAGGTAAAAGAAAAATCGCTCTCTGAAACGACGTCGCTCGGTGATTTCTTCTTCACACACACACACACACACACTGGAAGCACAAAAAACAAAAAAAAATCATATATGTGTATATACGATGTAAAAACGTTCGAAGTCACACCTGCAGGTGATTTTTTTTTTTTTTTTCACTCATCTCCACCTTTGGTGCAGAAAAAAAAAAGAAAAAAAAACGACATTCTCTTGTCTCTATGAAAATACCTACCTATATGAAAATATATAGATGTATACAACAATCTGCATAAGTCTTGGAAAGTAGGTATAAAATATTACAGTCACACTGGGAGAGAAAGAAAAAAAAAAAAAAAACGAAAGGAAAGGAGAATCCACCTTTTCCATTTTCTTTTTTGTTTTTGTCTTTGTATGTACGTGCATCCTCAGACGCACGCCATTTACAAACACGCCAACATAGCCATCGCCCCAACATCTACAATTCCTCTCTACCTGCAATCTTTGTTTTTGCAACGATGTCCGCTAATTTTCTAAGTGCCCCAGACCCCAGATTGGGGTTGTGGACTATTTTTGAACGACGAGTAGGGGTTGCCGAACTCTGTAGATGCTTCTGTTTTTGATGAAGTGGTTGCATGTTACGGTACATAGAGGGTGGTGTTGGTGACCTCGTCGGGCCCGTGTGTTGACTTACCAAATCAAAGGAAGCCCCTAAGTCGACGCCTTCACTTTCTTGTCGTCCTTTCGATGAGCGCGAGAGTGAGCGACCATAAATTTTTTTCTGTTGTTGGTGTTGTTGTCGTCGTTCCTGCTCATTCCAAGCCTCCGAAGCAGAGTCGACACTCTCCGGCGAAAGTACAGTGGAAGTACTTGGAGTTTGTGGCACTGATGCACGTGACGATGGATCCGTTCTTTTATTATTATGATGATGATGAGGAGTGGTTGCTAGATATCGGTGCTCATGTACTGCAGTGGAACTCCTAGCATCTTCTCTTTCAGTGTATGACGGAGAGATCATTTTTGAAGACGCTCCTGTCAGAGGACCATGTTGTTGTCGTTGTGTTTGCTGTACACGGTGGTGGTAGTTACTTTGACTTCCATCGCGTGAGGTGCTTGTCCGCCCCACATATCGCACATACGGTGGTGAGGCCCCTGTTACACTGGAACGAGAGCGAGACGAATGTGCAGAAACCCCATGTCTAGGAGAACGCGAACGCGAAGAAGACTGTGTAAGCCTTTCCATCTGCATTGCCCTAGTAGATTCGTTTGTGGTTGGGCGACTGGAGCGATGCCGTCTGCTGCACACATCACACTCATTGAAAAATTCCCCACGATGGTCACACGGCTGATAACGCAACGCTGACGGCACACGTGGAGCGCTCCCTGTGACACGTCCCAGTGATGAGTACGTAGTACACGCCGGCGTCACCACAACGGCGGCGCGCGGAACTGAATGACGTTCACGTTTCTTTTCGAGTTGTTCCTGTTGTTGTTGTTGCTCTTGTTCTTGATGATGATGATGATGATGATGTTGTTGTTGTTGTTGTCGTCCTCGGGCCTGGCTTTGTTGTCCTAATTCAACATCAGTTTGCGAATGACTCTCCTGTGTGCTCGGCGGTAGTGGAGACGATCCCGTCGATCTAGGTGAGACGCTTCCACGGGCTGAGCCAACATCACCGCACTCCTTTGGTGACCGTACAAGCCCTGAACTGCGTAGTGATGACTCATGCCGTAGATGTGTTTTTGTCTTGCTCCCACGTTGGTCACTTTGCGCGGCACAAGGTACTTCAAAGGTGTTTTCAATACCAGTTGCTGTTGCTGTTGTTGTTTCAGTACCAGCGGCGGGAGCAGGTGTTGGTGGAACGACAGATCTTTGATATGCTCCACGCAACTCCGCCGTTAGCTCCACCATGGATTGTGCTACTTGCAGGAGAAGTGTATCCTTTGCATCTAAACCGTTAAGCAACGAACCTGCTGTCTCTGGCAACGATGATGACAACAATGGTAAGGGTTTCGCGAGAGTAGCAGGTACAACTATCTCATGCGTTGTGGTACATATATTCTGATTTTCTTCTTGCTTCTGCCATGAGGGTGGTGTCTGATCTTCAGCAATGTCATGGAGACGCTTCCAACGGCGTAATTCCGCTCGTGAGACGGCGGCTTCTGAAAGCGCCTTATCCCTCCCCTCTTCTATTCGCTGGCATTCTTCTAGTGCTGCCTTTGTGCGTTGTTCCGCAACCACAGCCGTTTCTCGCAGCAACTGTAACTCCTCCTCCATTTGTTGTTGTTGTTGTTGTTGTTGCTGTTGTAATTCTCCAGCCTTTTTGTTGAAGTTGGCGACATCTTGTGTAACCTGAAACATGTGAGCAATGATTTTCAGAACAATTTCATCCTTATCAAAATGTGAAATCTTTGCCCGATGGTGACCCGGTAATAATGGCGGTTTTTGCGACGAGTCACTCCGTTGTTTTCTTCCCTGTTTCTGTTCCTTTTGGTTATCTACCACCGCACCATCTTCATCCTCTTCTTCTTCTTCATTCTCCTCTTCATCTTCACGCAAGCAGGAATCTATCACAACCTGTGGAAACGGATGGGAGGACGTGATAGCAGTCCCATTCACTTCTACCCAATTAACATACATCGCGCAGAGGTCAACCACGTCATCAATAAGTTCGCGCAAATCTACTGCTGTCTGGGTACGCTTTCGTAGTTTTTCAAGAATACCAACAAAACCAACACTTAATTGTTCTAACCCTACTGCCCATACACACGGTCCCTCACCACCAACACGGTTGAAGAAGTAACACCCTCGCTGTCGGGTAGATCGTTCTTTAAGCAATACATAAATTTCACTCAATGCTGCTGGGTCTTGATTAAAGGCTCGATCTACATCTAACCCTATATATGGTTCAAGCATAGTGGCGATAAATTGTTGAATCATTTCCGTATCCTTCTGCAGAAGAATTGCAGCAAGTTTATAGTTGGTACTGAACTTACCTAATGCATGGTAAACACTTGAAATGTTTTTCTCCAGAGCCCGAAAAAGTACGTCATCGCTTATATGTAACGCCTTATCACCCCCAGACTCGTTGTTGGAAATATCTTTTAGACTACCAACGTCTAAATCAACATAAGTTTCACCCCATACATCCTCAAATATCAATTCATCTGGTGCATCACCCCCACGTCGTCGGGTAGATGATGGGATTGATAAATAACGTACGCTTAACAAAGCAGCCACCATAGTACGCAGCTTTCCTACTGACTCGTACAGACGAAGAAGTCGGTGATCTGTTGGTAACACACGATCTGTCGGTGCATCCTTTAATAACAGAGATAGTGCCGCAGTGCGGGAACCACAAGAAGTATTTTTGTTGTCCTTGGAAGTGGATGACTGGGCAACGCCAATGGCCCGATCGAGAACTGGCAAAATGCCATCTGCAAAACGCATAAGCGCTGCATCAATGTCTAAGAGATTCTCATCGGTAATGGTTTGCTCAGCGTTATCTGCTGTACAGAAAAAACGATGGACTGCAGCAAAATATTTTATTAGTTTTTGTTGCGTGTATAAATGATCCTCTGTGGCCTCCTGCAGTCGAACAGCCCACCTACCAAATTTTTGCAGAAGCACCGCTAATGACTCTTCACTCGCCTCTTGAGATAGTTTTGGTTTTTCTTCCTTCTGCTCTTGTACTTGATCATGAGGCTTTTGTCGGATACAATCATCCTCTTTTTCTTCCTTTTTCTCATTATCATCTTTGCTTTGCCATTGACATCCAATGACACTTTCTACTACCTCGTCTTCGGCATTCTCATCAGTACCGAGCATATACAAAGTACGCTTGACACGTCTTCCTGCTTCAGCCAGTCGTTGCAGAATCATCTGTAAAGCTTGACGAAAAGTCTCTGTCTCCTCATGCCACTGTTGTTCTTCTTCTTGCAAGCGAAGTATCTCTGACTTCTGCACTGCACGTTCAGTAAGCGCTTTATCATCCTTTAGTCGCTCCTCTACAAGTTTTAGAGCTTCTAAAATGTCACCATCATTAACAGGTTGTGTGACATGTGTCTTTCGCTGTTCAGGGCGCAGCACAAACTTCGACGTAGACGACACTACTTCCGTCTTAGTGTTTGCCTCAAGATGAAGAGCTGTTTGTTCAAGACCCACTGTTCGACAGATCATCTTGACGGTGTTACAGATACGCATCCAGCGTTTATTGTGAATGTTGCTGGATTGAATCAAATTTTCGAGACGAACCTTATTAGCCCCAAATGACTGAAACAGACGATGATAACGTGTTTTTATAACTTTCAATCGCTCTTCAAGATCGTCAAAAATAGCAGTGAGAGAAGATACTGTAATTCCATTACCGTTATTAAGAATACCAGCACCAGTTTCAGCAGAAGGTTCTTCTAACATCTCTGCAGAAAGAACACCCAGTAATTCTTCCATTTCAGTTGAATTTCCTTGAGACAGTAATATCTCTTTAGTAATCCTAATAAGCTGTTTACTGCGTTCCTTGACTAATTCTTCTATTCTAACCTTTTCCAAACGACTTTGTGCTCCAGAAAGTTGTTGCTTCTGTTGCTCTTGAATCCATTGTTCTTGTCTCTTTTTTAAAAGTCGTATCATTTCAATAAGGTTGTTTACCGGTGGATCAATTTGAGCGTTACCCCCAGAAGAATTGGAGACAACTCCTGTTGGAATTAGTTGTGCTAACTCATATAAACTCTGTCGAATAATGGCATCCTCTCGTGTTACACAATTTTCACATTCCTTCATCGCCCAAAGACGAAGTTGTTCTGCCGTATCCATGAGTCCTGATAAAACATTTTTATCAAGAGGTTGTGTATCTCCATTAGTAGAACTTTCAGCTAATTTCGTTAACTGGGACTGTAACATCTTTATTTGAAGAGAAACAGGATCTTGTGTAGCTAATAATGCAACTAAACGTCGTACTGCCCCTTCCACGTAATCAAGTAAAGCATTTTCTTCTTTCTGTAATTCTAGAATTTGCACCTTATCATCTTCTGGTAGCCAACGAGCAATCCTCATGATTGTATCTAAATGTCTCCTATTTTTTTCTTCTATTGAAGACTCTAGTAAGCGTTCTCCAGACTTATGATCTACTTGGTATTTTAACTCATTTACTATCTCTATGAATGATTTTTCTTCATTGAATGGTACTTGTAATATTTTGTCATCACATTTATTTCCTTTCAGTTTCCCTAACGTTTCAGTAAGAATATGTTTTGCTTCCATTTCTTCGTTTGCCATTGTAATAAGAAGATCTCTGGCTCCCGTCAGGGTTGCACGCATATGTTCTAAAACAGCCTCAGCTGAAGATTCGAGAGGTTCTTCACGCAAGAAATTGGGGACTACATTTAAAAAACATCTCTTCTTAACTTCATTCATAACAGAAATAAGAGTTTTTAAATCCTCTTTTATCCATCGGTCATTTTGGGAGTGAGAAATGTGATTTTCATTCGAACATAGAGCAGCACGTTCTTGCTCCACTGTAGGAGGAAATACAACACCACATGAAGCAAATTTGGTCATTACTGCCCTTTCGTATTGAAGAAGAAGTACGGAATTTGTTTCCTTCTCTCTTTTCGTCTTTTCTAACTCATTCATAAGCTTAAGCGCTAGTTTGGGTGCTTGACTGGGATCACTTCCAGGTGTTGCCCCAAGTATATCCATAACTTGACAAAGTGCTTGGTCTTTATCAGTCATTTCAACATTTTCACTAATCCGTTTAGCCTGATTAGATGAATACAAAAGATTCAGCATATCTCGCAACGAGCTTTCATTAGACAATTTTTTATCTAGAGAATTCTTCTCTACAAGGGTTTTTGTCATCTCCATGCATTTCTCAACTTGTATGAGAATTGCCAAAAGATTAGTTTCTATATCTCCAAGAACTTTCGTATTTTCTGTGACCGTTTCAACTACGGAACTATCCCCATCCTTAGAATTAGATGGTTTGGTTCCATTCAAATAAAATAATGTTTTGTTTATAACATCTGTCAGAGATTCTCCTCTGTAAAATGCTTCCGCTCTTGCTTTTTCAGCAGAGTTTTTTAAATGAATAATACTGGTCATCAGGTCTCTAACAAAGGGTTCAGTCCTACTGCTTTCAATTACCTCAATAACGCGTGCCTCTAATTCCTCAGAAAAAACTGGTTCATCAGAACGTATTGGTTTTCTGACTTCATTTAATATTATTGAAGCCAGCTCACTTTCAGTCGGATAGTGATAGTTAAGTAATGAGTCAGTATGCTCTACTCCACCAGTACCAACGTCCCCTTTGGCATCATATGACTCCTGTTCTTGCTGCGCCTTTTTAAATGACGTCCATAACTGGGCGTGCGCACTGGTCCAGTCATTTTTCTGACCCTCCATTAATTCAACTATGGGAAACTAATAAAAAAGGAGGGACAAAAAAAAACATTGGAAAAGAATTTAAAAAGGGGTTCCAAGTTGTATTTAGTCAAAATAATGGAAAAAAAAAGAAAATGGTAAAGAAAAAAAAAATCTATTTATTTTCAGTAAAGGAAGAATCCTTCTTTTACCTAACAGAAGGACAGTTACCAGTTATTCGGGCGAATCGCTATCGCTGTTGTTGTTGCTGCTGCTGTTGTTGTAGTTGAGCATGTTTCGCCTGCATTTTACGGAACAAATCGCCAGCTCTCTGCTGTGAATCCTTTTCCTTTCGCTCTAATTCAGCAATAGAGGCATCGGTCCTTTTTAATTCCCCATTAATGTATTCCAGACGGTTATTCACGATTGCCTTGGCATCATTTTGGTCTTGAAGGATAAGAGCAGGACCAATGAGCTTGTATACTTTAGAGTCAGGCTCTAGCTTGTTCATTTCATCCCGCACTATCTCATTTTCAGTTTTCTGAGCACCAAGTTTGCGACGTGCTTCAATCAGCTTAGATTTCTTCCCGCCAAGCTCTTGATTTTCCTTAAGAATAACCTGGAGCTGGTCATTCATGGCTTTGATCTCGGGTGGAAGCTGTTGCTGTTGCTGCATTGCGTATACGCTTCGTATTTATTTGCGTGGACTGATTTCTTACAAGAACCAATAAAAACGGGAAAAAAAAAGAATATTTAAAAGGACCAGGAAAGAAAAAACCACAGGAATATGTCTCTTAAAATCATAACAGTAAACAAGAGAAAAAGTTATCAAAAGCATCCATACATTTAGAAACTGCTATGGGCTGAGACATAATCGCTCCCTTCTGCTGCATGACGTGCAACAAAGTTTAGAAAACGAAAAAAAAAAAAAAACTTAAATTTACCGTGATAACTAAACACACTAAGCTCTCCGCTTTCGATCAGACTCTAAATCCCCTTTGTTGACAATTGGCCATGAATCAATCTGCAACAAGAATGGAAGGTACATATAAACCTTATCACGGTACCTTTTGTCTTCTTCAATAGGGTTTCGTTCAAGATATACAGTTTTCAAAGTATTTTTAAAGGCGCTCAATTTTCCCACTTCATCCCAGTTTTCTATATTACCATCAGTGAGCCAAAACTCTTCAAGAAGTGGCATAGTTTGTGGATTAATTACATCGGCATTTATAGAAGATATCGGATTAAAGCTAAGATCGATAATCCGTACCTCAGAAAGACGCTCCAGGTTTTGAATTGACGTTAATCCATTCTCCGAAAGGTATACCTCACGTAAATGAGGATTTCCATCGGGGCCCAGAAAGTTTTCTGGTTCAATACTTGTGATGCGATTGGCTTGTAAGCTAAGAATTTCTAATGACACCAATTTTTGAATTGATGTACCAATTCCAGTAATTTTATTTTTACCAAGCCATAACTGCTTCAATTTCGTAAGTTTTTCCAAACCAGAACCAATTTCACGAATTCTATTGCCTCCCAATTCAAGCAACTCTAAATTCACGAGGGCGTCCAAATTTTTTATTTCTTTTATTTTGTTCTCTACCAGAAACAACTCCTTTAATGTCGGTGCAAGAGGATCCAACCCATTAATCTCTCGTATTTGGTTGTAACTCAAATCCAATTTAGTAAGATGAGGGAAGGCACTCACCACATCACGCTTGATAGATTCGACCCCTGGAGTTTTTACGCATGAAAAGAAGTCTCTCAATTTACGAATTTTGTTGTCAAAAAAATCTAACTCTTCAAGACGAGAAGCCAAATCTTCTGGAAGAGGAGATAACTCATGGATAAGATTTTTTCGAAGCGAAAGAGATGTACATTCTGTCAGTTTCTCAAGCTCAACTTCATCAAGAGAAAACAAACGAATGTTGTTGATTTCAATAACTTTACTCTTTGTATATATATTAAGTACTGCTTCTGCTACTGCATCACGCTCCGTTTGATTTTGAGGTGGTGGATTTTCATCATCTGCACTCTCATCATCTGAATGTTTCTGGTCTCCTGTATTTCGTGCGGCGAACATTGCCTGAAGTCCTCTTTTTAAGTTTTCCTTTAGTTGTTTTTTCTCATTATTTTCTTCACCAAGAGACGCATTACCTTGTGGCATTTTTATCTTAAACAACCTATTTGTTCTAAATGGAAAACACGCATTTTAAAAAAAAAAAAAAAAGATAGAAATCAATTTCTTATGGTAATTTTAATGTTCACATTCTCCTATTTAAAGGAATCTTTAGTGTAGAACGATAACAAAAGTATGAGATAATCATCATAGGGTTTTACTCGCATTAACAGTCAGACTACTTGGTACTTTTCTTCGCTTGCCTTTTCTTCTTCTCAGCATGTCGCCGGCGCAGGTCACGTACTCCTTCTATTATTTGTCTTCGCAACTGTTTAAAACCTTTCTGTCTTTTATTTACGACATGAGCGAATTGAATTCCAGCCACTTGCTGTGCCAAGGGTTTTTCCCTCTGGGTTACCTTTGTCTCTCCCATCCCCATGGATTCTTCTAGCTTCTTCTGTTCATCATGTTTTTGTTGAAAGCGTTTGCGTTTGATCTGTCTTGATCCACGAAGGCCACGAGGAGTTTTAGTCCCTCCAGTTTTACCTTGCGAGTGGGTGACAATAACAGCCCTTGACCCTCTTCCAAAACCGCGCCCCATTATTCCAAAACACGTCCCTTATACAAAGTAATACAAAAGAAGAATAAAAACAAAGTAAAAGAAACCGTGAAACAATAAAGAATATCATACAAAAGCAATACTTCAGGAAAAAACACTGCACATTGATCAGAAAATTCAGAAAAAAAAACCCGAGGGACATTCTTCTGGTTATTATATCGGCCAAAAAAAGATAGTATCACTGGCAAGAAACGAAAACAGCAACCCATTAACAGCAACAGAGGCTTTTACCAAGAAAATGCTTATCTCTAGAAGAAACAAGTCAAAGAAGAACCAATCAAATCATCCATTTCCTTACAAACACCGCAGAGAGCTCACAAAAGAATAGGATTTTATTTTTAAAAAAAAATAATAATAGGTTAAAAAGCGAGTGCCATAAAATGCAGTCACCAAACCAGAATCTTTCTCAGGCAAAGCACACCATCGAACCCAGCTCTAGAATCAGAAAGGTTTGCCGCGCAAGCAAACCTGAAAAAAAAAAAAAAGAAAGAAAAAGAAGAGACACAAGTTCTCCATCTATTGGCATTGAAGTTTCTCTCACCCACCACCCACGTCACATTTCATAAAAAAAAAGGAGATCACAACCTTTTTTTTGTTTTTTGAGAGGAGCTACGACACTAGCAAAGAACCCACTTGAGACACCAGAGAGGTGCGAGAAAGTGGGTGATGAGTGGGGTAGAAAGTTCTGTCTCGTTTTCTTTCCCTCTTATTTATTTTGTTCCAATCATAAACCGAGGCCGCGCCAACATTTGCTTTCACTTTGCCCACCCAAAAAGGCGCCGCCAATCGCCCTGCCGGTTTCGGAAGCGTTGGGCGAACAACGCCCTTCCGTTTAATCGGCCCAATGCCGCCACTTGACATTCACCAATTGTATCAGTATTACTTCGGGCCTGGCGCCCGACACCCCGCCCAGCGCCAAAACGATCCCCGGCGGCACGATAAAACAACCACCAACCCAATGGCGGGAAGGGGCCCCTCGGTCTGCCGTTTCCGAGGGGAACCGCCCCCATTCTTTCCGCAGGAAAATCTGAGCCCCATGCGGACGGCAAAGAACGCCATGGGCATGGATGTTGGGGTGGATTCCCGCGCCTTCGGACCTCGGGCGGGCAGAAGGCAGAAAGGCACACACCCCAAGCGGCACAGCGACAACGGGAAAAAAAAAAACAACCCGGAGCCATTCCCAGGCGCCAGGCGATGACCCAGGCGACCCTCCAAACGATAGGGAATTCCGTTGGCCGCCCGTTTCCCCCCGATGGTCTTTACGAGCGGGGTTCGGGGACTCTTTCAACCAGCGCCGCCGCACCTTCCTTGCCCAAGGCCCGAATGGCAAAGTCACCGCTTAACCCTGCGCGTCTTGCTGTTCGAAGTTGGGATCAACCCAAAACGCCTTGCTAAAGAGCGTTTGGGCCGGCGTTCCGCTTGGAAACGGCAGGGCTGCATCCTGGCGCGTTCGCCAAAAGCGGGGTTCCTTACGAACTGTACGGCGGTTAACTGCTGCAATTGGGGATGGGGATGGCCACAAAGGCGCCCAAGAACTTGTGCAACCACTCTTTAATTCCTAACGGCATCTGCGAAAGCAAACGGGGCGACCGGAAAAGACTTAATAGGGCCCTTTACGCTATTAACTGATCCAAGGAAATCATTTAATTATCCCACTGGATAGGCAAAAGGCCTTTAATATCCTTATAACCTGGTTGTGTTGGTTTTCTTGGCGCTCCAGAAAACTAAGTTTAAGAAGAATTTTTTTCTGAAGGAGGTAATTTCCTAAAATGTTAAGACCTACCTAACAAAAAAAAAAAAAAAAACATTTAGGCCCCCACATTATTTCCTAATGCCTTTTCCCGATTGAGTTTTGCCATGGCGAAGCGGTTTCAGAGTCCAGGATCTAGTGCTGAGAAGGGAAAAGGCAAGGTTTGGCAATGTTTTATTCTGTGACGTGCACCTTCAACCACCAAGGCACCAATATAATACAACACCGGGACGGGTCATTCCATATTGGATAAAAATTGAATCAGACAAGATCCTTGGGGCACGCATCGGGGGCATTGAGCGAACCTTATAATGGCACTTTGCTTCGCCAAGCGCCTGGGGAGGAACACGGCGCAGCGATGTAATAAAAACCACTGCCACCCCAATGGTAGGTATGGTTTTTCACCGCTTGGGAAACCAATTGGGGTAAAGGAAATCTGGACCCCACCCCTTCTTAAGAGATATTTCAATATTCCTTTTTTCGTTTGCGAAATTGATGTCGGCGCCCATACCCAGAAGGGAGATGGAAGGAAAACAAGGACCCCAAAGGATTCGCAGAGCCACAGCCAAACCCATTCACAGAAGGCGGCGGACACCTCCGCAGGCCACAACTGAGTCATGTTGACAAAAAAAAAAACGAGCAAAGAGGCAAGGCCAGAAAGCAAAAAAAAAAAAAAACCGACTGGCAACTAAAAAAAGGAACCCCCATACGATACGACACGTGCGTTGAGAAAAAAATTCTCCGGATAACGCTTTTTAGTGACACCACTAAACCTTGTGATGTCGTACACCGATGGCGCGCCACAAGCAAACGCAACCACCACACCAAACTAAAATTTCCAAAACGAATATTTGCGCCACAACCCTTCCCACGAGAGCTGGGGTCAAGAAAACCTAAACCGAAACGTTTCTGTTAAATTTGTGCGGCATCATCCCTAGCAATTTCTTTGCCTGGTTGGATTAGGGAAACCGAGCCCCACACCTATCCCACCATACGTTGCTTTTTCGGGGATTCCGGCGTTTTGAAATTTCCAACCCAACTAATTTTTTTTATTGCATTCTTCGTTTCTTTATGGACCTTACTTTAATGGAACGTCTGCACGACTACCGCTGTAGAGGACCAATTGCCGACTTACGAGTGGCTCCGAAGAGGAAGAAGATCCCTTTATTTTATAGGATCCTCAAGCTCTTGTAATATGATTTTTCTTGCAGCCCGTTCCCATACGAGAGAACCAGTCTACGAGAAATCTGATCGAGTAAACCCTACCAGATCTCTCAACTCTTACTGTTCTTACCCAGAACCCGTCCTTCAGTCTCCTTTCTGTTATTATTTTTCGGTTTTTTTGTGAAAGATTGGCCTCAATGAAGCCGCAGATGTTTTTCTGCTTGTTGGGTCGGCGACAGGCGTCTTGAGCTTACTCTTCTATCAAGGTTTCCATATTCGTGCTCGACACTGATTTTAGAGAGGTGGGGAGGTCTTACAGAGGGGGAGGTAAGCTGCGTAGGGTTTTTCTTGGTTGTGAAGACTGTGGCACAGTGTAGTTCCGCTCCACCGAAATAAGGAAGTGAGCTAACCGCTTAGAAAAACATAGTTTCTTCAGGGGTATATCATCAATTATCGCAAATTGAACCCGCAGTGTATGAAGAGTGGGGCAACTCAAAAGATGCAGAGCTGTTTCTTCTCATTCGTCTCGTTGGCTGGTGTTCGCGCGAGAGTAGGGTGATACCCGTGACGTGATATTCGGTGTAGAGTTAGGCCTGATTTACCCATACACATTGACCACCGCATGGGGAGCAGACTAATGCCGGAAGGTCTCTTGTTTTTGCCGGTTTATTTTGTGAATGGTTGGAGTTCGCTTTTGTTGGTATTTCCCTGTCTATCGTGGAAACCCCTGCAGTGGGCGAGAGGAAGTCTAGGTTGGCGTAGAACTTCTGGTTTTAACAAGGGTTTTTGTGGAGAGCAAGCCTCTTGGCCTGTGTAAGCCCAGCTGAGTTCCACTGCATTCCGCGCAGTGAAGGGCCGGGATTTTCCCCTACATCACCACTCAGCAGTAACCTGGTGCGGGTGATACTGCTGATAGCACGTCGGCAAGTGCCCAAGGACATTCTTGGATATATTTTTGCCCCAGCACGATGCCGCTGGCCCCGGTGCTTTATAACGCCGTAACCTAAGGGCCAACGGGTATTCCAAAAGAAAAACGTCGCTGGCTCTTGGCTTCCTCCGACAATACGAAGTACTGGACCTTGGCACCGCGATGAGTTGGCCGGCATTGCCAAGGAATTCAACTAATGCCACCGCGGTTTGGCCGGGGGGAAGCGCCGCTTCTTTTCCGTACAGCGGCGCATCGCACAAGACCAGAAAAACAGTTGGAGCGATCACCCCCACATCACCACTACCAGAAAAAGGGTGGGGCTTTGGAAATTGCTGTATGTTCTTCCGCGCTTCCTCCATAATGAGTTGCAAAAGTTAGGGAGCAAGCGTCTTAAAGCGAAAAGAAAAGAAAGTCGGGCGCGCTTCCTGCAGGCAGGAAATGCCCTGGACAGGCTCGCAGAAAGGCGCGCCACCAACATCCCACCGAACCCCTAAGGGACTTCGGAAGAAGAGAGAATGTGGCCACTTAACAATGCGCCAAACAATTTGAATCGGCATTTCGTGCGGCAATAAAGTAATGTATTAAACATGCATAGACGAAGTTTTTTTTTCACATTGAAAGGGAGGTGCCGGCGACCGTGCCATAGAACAAAGCGTTCCTCACGAACCTCAAAAACGAAATTCGTACCCAGAAACAGCGAACACCGGGCCCGGGGAGAGGGAAGGGGCGCCAACGGAATTGAGACGCTCACGGCCCGACGCGCCCACCCAACACCGTGAATTTATCCCGCTCAAAAATTTTGAATCGCACCACAAATCATTGCCAGCGGAGCAAATCGAAAGCAAAACGTACGACAACAACAAATTGGGGGCGATCTTTCCCATCGATAACGCTTCCCCCTCGGCACGGCAGCCGTTAACAATTTTACCATGACACCCACTCCTCCTAACGATCCGTGCATCGCGGCGTCGTTTTCAGAGGTCAACCGCATCGCAAAACGCACGTGGACCTCAACAGTATGGGAACAGCGAGCCGCAACAATGAGAGGATCCATCGCGTTTACAGCGCAGAACAATTTACAGATTCAGGAAGAAGATATTCCGTTATTTATCATAAGTTTGAAATTTCAAAAAAAAAAAAAAACAGCGCGTTACAATATACGCGAACAACGACCGCCATGATGGCGCCAAGGGGGTCGCCAACTCAAATGTTTCCGGCGGGCTGGAAAAGCCAACGGCCGCCGACACCACATAAAAGAAGAAATCCCCATGTTGAGATGGGGGTCGGACATGGCCAGTGATATTCTGCCAGAGGAAAAGGATCGATTGGCTTTACGGCTGGGTTGGGTTACAGCCAACCGTCGGGGAGAAATAGAAAAACTTCAGAGAGAAAAATTTACACCGAAAAGTCGGGATTCAAACGCCATAATAGTGGATTGGGGAGCCCTTTCCCAAGACATCCGGGGGCGATCCAAACAGGGCCACGAGGCATTCGGCAATCGGTGAAGAAGGCGCACGGTGCGTCAAAGCAATCGTAAAAGGAATGACGGATGACAAAAACTTTCAAAGAAAGGAATATGATTTCATAGGAGTACACTTTAACCACAGGGAAAACAAGGTTTCCCTAAACTAAAAGAGAAAGAAGTTGCAAGAAGCATTATTATTGGAACACTCAACAGTTGAAGAATTGGAGGGTAAAGTATCGCACGCGATGTGCGCGGCAGGAGTGTGGGGTGAATCTGTTTTCCCTTATTATTTTTTCTTAAAAATAGTGCGTCGGCGATTGTCATGTTTAAATTGAGGTTTTTTATGGCCACAAGATCAGGCAAATTTACCATCAAATGTGAGGGAAATTAGGCGAATTGGCTCAAAACATTTTTAGAAAACGAGACAGTTCACCCACCACAGCAGTTGTCATCCATCGCAACGCTAGTAACGGACACATCCATATACGGGTGGAGGGCGTTGTTATTCAGGGATTCAGGGAAAGTTTTGGCGGCAGGTGGTGCATGGGCGCATTCACCCCACACATGATACCCCAAGCGGAGGTGCGTGCCGTTCATCTCGCATTACACGGTTTTAAAATACGTCTGATTGACTGGCCCCTCGGATATTCGCATAGAAAACACAACGATAATGTACATTATGCCAAAAGGAAACACGCATTCACAGCCGTAGGCGGCGAAAGCCAAGACCGTAGAGTTCGCGCTCGCACGGAATATGAGTTCCTCGCAGTTGCGTCGCATCGGAGGGCTTTACTGCGGACGGGGTATCTGGATTTCAAACTGCAGCAATATGGAAGCGTCTAAAGGGGTGCAACTTGCGATGGGTAGAGCAGGAAACGGGTTAAAAGGGTTTCCCAGCACTTCTATTTCGCCAGTTCTAGCATTTGTTGGGGAACGGCCATCAGGGGTAAAAAATATCGGGATGCCCACACATATCCGGTGCGGGAACGTAAGGGTCAAGACGTAAAGAAAAATATTCTTGCTCTTTTTTTTTCTTTATCTTTATTAGAGGGACAGTAAGGCTTAGATTATTTTTTACTCTTGCGAAGCTCAAGCTGATCGCATGAAATTTAGGATCAAATATTCTTGGTTTGCCAACAAAATAGGCTGCAGAAAACATCTTAAGAAAATAAACTTTCAGATTTTATCCTTTCCCACCAAAGAAAAGGCTTTGTGAGAAAATGGTGTCTTGGCTTGAATCTTCAAACCAGAAAACTAATCTGCTCAATAATATTCATACCGCAGTGCAATAAAATAAAGCTGTACAAAAGCAGAAAGATTCCAAATACAATGCGTTTTTTATTTATTTTCTCAAAGGATTTTGTTGGTGATCCTTTCGTCCTTCTAGTTTTCGGCATAATTTGTTTTAAAGGAGGTTTCGGAAAGAATATGCATCTGGAGTTGGCCTGTTGCAGTCAATGCTTTGTGGGTGTTTGTAATCTTTTTCTTTACTTTGGGCAAGGCGGGGCCAGAGGGAGCACCGCTTGAAGGACTAGAAAGAATATAAGTTTTTTTTTTTGTCAGCTTGCGAAAAGAATGATCGAGTCTTACTGTTTTTAGTGAACAAATTCTGTACTGGAGTTTTAACATTTGGGTAAAAGAGTGTTTTTTTCCAATCCTACAGTTCTGTCAATCGTAAGTTTCTGAAAAGTAAGTTTTTAAGTAAGGAAAATGATAACTACAACCAATCCGATATTTACAGCATTAGAGTGGCGGATTTGCGCCAAGGCTTTCCAAGATTTCGTGCGCCAATTTGGACCAACATCATTTTCCTTTAAGACCAGCGGATATGCCGCAATACAGTTTTCACATAGATGGCCTTCTGATTTTAGACGGCGATGATACACTTAAAGTAAAAATAGGACAAGAAGACTTTATGGACTGGGAGGCCTTGTGCCCTTCCATTATTAACTTTACAATGCCTCGGAATCAAAACTTTCTACATGTTTTCGAGACGACATACAATTTATTCAGTGCAGAATGGGCAGCACTGAGAGAGGAAGCTACAAAGATACATTATGAGTATGACCGCGCACAAGCACAGTTAGAACACGAAGACTTTAGTGTACAACAAAACGCAAATATACAACTCCAGGAGTTGCAGAACCAAATGGCACAGATTTATCAGGAGGCCCCCTCGCGAAAATGCAACAGGCTGAGACGCAGAAGCAATTGCAAAAAACGCAAGCGCAACTGGCAAAACACACAGGCACAGTTGGCGGCATCCCGCGTACTATGCAACCAAACGCTGAAGGAATTGCGGCGGCTGCGAAATCAGCATACAGCGACGCAGTCTCAACTAGAGGCGGCGCTTGAAAAATTAAACGAAAAGGGACAACAGAGCGTTCCGGATACAAGCCATATAACCGCACCAAAAGTACCCCCACAAAAAAAGGGAGAAATTTATCAAGTTGGGCATGGAAGTCGGAACCGGCTTTACCGACTACGGAGGAACGGCCGAAGATGGGCATTCGCGGAATACAGGAATTACGACAACCAATTTGGACCGAAAGCTGCCGGCCTGAAGAAAAAATACGGACATTTGAAGGACTAATGGAGTTTTTGATGGATGCATCACCCAGCGAATTGCCGGCTGCCTACCAGCGACTTTTTCCCAGGCCAGTTAACCCCGGTTTATTTTTTAATGATGTATGGAATAATTTTGTACAATGGCTGGACTCCGTTCGCAACGAGGGGATATCAGCACAGCTGATCCAAATGGGACGACAGGTATGCACACAACTCAGGGTAATACAAACGGTAAAAGATAACCCAGGACTAAAGGTAACCAGACGCAGGCAAGTTATGGAAGAGCCTCAACTAAAAGAAGACCCATTTTTGCAGGCCGCTGCTAAGATAAGGCGGAAACATTCTGCACCACCACCCAGTAAGGCACGCTGTTACAGATGCGGTCGCATCGGGCACTACAGCATGACGTGCCGTGTAAATTTACAGAAAGAAACATATACACCAAAAAACGATTATCGGTCCCGGAAACAATGAAAACCGGGGGCCGGACAAATACGATACGTAAAGAAGAACAATTTTCAGGAATGGACGCGTCCACTCAACACCGTGGTTTTCTTCCGTTCCCATATTCAAACGGGTATACAAAAAGTTTTAACAGTAAATACGCAACATCAAAACAAACACGAGAAATTACAAGAACTACAAGAGGTTTTCCCATCAGGTACACTCCCCCAGGGTACGACTTCAATAAACGAGGTAACATTGATTCCAGCAAGAACCAACGATCCGTACATCGTGGCGTTGGCATCAGAGGCCAACCGCATCGCGAAACATATGTGGACCCATACAACATGGGAACAGCGAGGTTCAATAATGCGCCGGTTCATAGAGTTCACTACAAAAAAACAATTTAGAGGTACAGAAAGAAAACATCCCACTATTTATAGTAAGTTTACAACTGGCAAAGAGCAGCACGATTCAATATACGCGCACACTAATTACCATGCTGGCATCGGCCAGAATACCCGCTCAAATGTTTTTGATGGGTTTACAGAAGACGGCAGCGCAGGACCCGATAAAACAAGCACGTCCAATGTTAAGATGGGAATTGGATATGATAATCGATACTCTTCCATTGGAAACAGATCTAGTAGCACTACGCCTGTCTTGGGTTACAGCCACTCGATGGGGAGAAATAACAAAGTTTCAGAAACAAAATTTCGTACCGCACGAGCAAGATCCCAATGCCATAATAGTGGATTGGGGAGCGCCGCCAAAGACTTTCAAGAGCGACCCGCACAGGGCAGCGGGGTACGTGGTAATTCAAGGAGCAGACGCACAACGCGTCAGAGCAACCATAAAAGGAATGGCAAGCGACGAAAAGTTAACCACAATAACCACAAAAGATATGGAAAATATTCTTCGGCCATACGGAATGACGGCTCGCTCCGTAAAGAGAGGAGCTTTGGCCCACGCCGCGGCAGCAGTGGTCGAACACGATCTCGACCCACGGTTATTAACACAGTTAGGGAAACATGCAGATCCAATGGAACTCCCACGCAGCACGGTGTGATATCTAGGCCATTGAGCCGCAACATTAAACGAATCGGCACACCTCACATCATTAATTTAAGAGAATTGGGAAAATGGGCAGCGGAACAATGGGACACACCAGAAACCGCAACACAACATTTTGGCGTCCCCTTCAAAGGGCACAATATTCTGCGACGATCACACCGCACCAGAGTGGCAACGAGCGATGAAGAAGCATGATTACCGTTGCAACAAATAGACGTCGGAACACTGTCCACCCATTGGATTAGAGAACGCCTGAATAATAGTGCCGGGAGGCGTTGGGACGAGGTGTGGCAGATTATGCAGAAACCCGAGTTGCACACCAGAAGGAGGGAATCCAATTTAAGAATCAACAGCGCTGATGCGCAGCGTATGAAGGAAGCAGGAATTATTTGCACAGCTTCATCACACCCAACCACGGGATGGGCAGTACCGTTTACGGTGGTGGGGGGCGAACCCTCCGGGCAGAGAAGGCGATTTATCGCGTGACCACGGGAAAAAAATGAGAAGGATGATTATGAGGCTGATGTTCCTCTAGGACACATTTCCCAATACCTGGATGCAGTTTGCGGCGAAACTGCAACGTTATTTGATTTAAAGGCATCATTTTTCCAGGTGGCTCTGCCATTTAACATACGCGCAAGTTTTCGTTGCCGTACGGAATCAGTGGAACTCGTTGAGTTCACTCGCCTTCCTATGGGTTATAAATGTAGTCCAAAGATTTTAAATACCATTACAAGAGTTCTGGATGGTGATCCGGAAGTGGTAATACCACAGTATGTGATACCCAAAGATTTAAAAATACATGTTTGGATTGATAATATCCGAATAAGTGGTCCACACAAAAAGGTGGAGGCTTGGGGGCTGCAAATGTTACATAACATGCAACACTGAGGTGCCACCATCGGGGAACAGCAGCTAAATACAAAGGAATATGATTTTATAGGGTACATTTCAATCACAAGAACAACACGGTTTCTTTAAGTGAGAAAACACTGAAGAGGTTGCGGTAGGCACCTTCTCTAGATAACCCGAGAGTCTAAGAATTGGAGAGTACAGTATCGCGTATGATGTATGCGGGAGGGGTAAGGGGAGAATCCCTTTTCCCTTATTATTTCTCTCTACAAATTGTACGTCGACGTTTGTCACGTTTAAATAAAGCCACAAGACCCGGCAAATTTGTCGGCTACTGTCAAAGACATTGGTCACAGTTGGCTCAACACACTGTTAACAAACGAACCGGTTCATACACCACAGATGTTTCCCTCCACGGCAACACTGGTAACAAACGCCTCCATGTACGGATGGGGAGCGTTATTATTCAACAATTCAGGAGAAGTTTTGGCAGCCGGTGGTGCGTGGGAGCATAGACCCTACATGATATCCCAAACAGAGGCACGCGCCGTTCATCTCGCTTTACGATGATTTAAACCGCATTTGACGGGTCCGTTGGATATTCGCGTTGACAATACAACGGTTATGAACATTATGCAAAAAGGAAACACGCATTCACAGGCGTTACTGAAGGAAGCCAACGCCATAGATAGAGTTTTGCACTCATACGGCATAACAGCAAAGTGGAGCTACGTAGTTTCAGAGCAGAACCCGGCGAACGGCATATCGAGAGGTAAATTTATCAAGCAATCGGACTTAGCGAAGTGGTGGAACTTGCGAAGGGGAGAGCGGGAATCAGGCTAAAAGGGACTTCTCAGCACTTCCTTTTCGTTAGTTCTTAGGATGTTTTTTCAATAGTATAACTGTCTGGTAAAATACAATTTTTTTTTTATATATATCATGGGGTTCCAATTCGTGGAGGTCAAATACATGGTTTTCTTTGTTCTTCTGTTTTCTTGTTTTTGGTAGAAGTAATGCTAAGAATATTCAAGCATACTATTTACAAGTATGGCTTTGATCCCGTGGTCTTTTGATCGGAGGGTTAATCTGCAGAGGCGTTTGGAATGTCACACAGACCAAAAATAGACCTACAAAGGTGGTTTTGAACTTAATTAACGGGCTTTCTGCTTCAAAATGTGAGGTCCTCACTACTATTACCGAACAGGGACTCTGTTTAGATGACGGCGCGCATTGAAAAGTTTGGCTGCATTCTTCCAAGTTTAACCGGGTGGCAGGTGCGCAGACCACCAATTGGCCCAAGTTTTGAGAACCATTTTTTTTCCCCTCCTTTCAGAAATTAAAAACGTTTGTTCTGAGCAAGGCGCGCCTGCTGCCCAGAGGGGTGCGTTAAACAAAGATTGCGCTCAAGATATGCATGAATTTTAAGAGAAATGGGATTTGCTTGGGAGCAGAGGGCGGCATTGGAGCACCAAAATATTTCATCGCTTGCGGGTGCGTTTACCGAAGATGAGGGCCTTATTCGTCAGAGCAAGGCGAAGATCAACAGCCAGCGTGATGCCTTTAAGGGCCGATGGGAAAGGCGAATCGGGATTGGCAAAGGTTGGGCCAACAGCCAACCGCCAGGCAATGGGAATTATAGAGGCTGACTTCTGCGCTTGAAAAACTCGCGCAAAACGTTCCCCAAAGTCAGCCCAAAAGAAAAAACGGACGGGCAGGCGGATCCGATGGCGGGAATCGCTTCTTTTCGCGGGCGGCATCGGGCCCTCGGGAGAAGGGGGCCGGTAAGAAAACTAACGGCCATCTGAAACCAGGGGCGCCCTCGTTTGGTGGGGTTGGGAATCGGGCGCCGCCCGCCGCTACCGCAGAATGGCGGGGGTGTGCCGTTCAGGCACGGCGGCGGCGGCGAGAACAAGGAAGGAGATGAAGGAGGGGCGGATATAACAGAAGAGGGAAAAAAAAAAGATGATCTCGCCGCTTGGGCCCCAGACTGCACAATAGGGAAATTTCAGCTCTGGAAGTAACTTTGCGAAGTGGGTTTGATTATCGGAGGCAAAAGCCTATAGAGGTTAAGGAACCTTTGAAACCCTTTATGATTAAACGAAGTTAATTCAGGAAACAGTCCACCCGTTTCCGTTTATAATGGGTTAGGGTGAAAAAGCGTCGGCTAATTTTCGTACCGCTTTATTATAGGATGGGAATTTTTCTTTCGCAAAGTCGCTTGCGCTGTCGTGGCTTTATACGGCTTGAAACGGCGCCGGCGTTTTCGTAAAGGCAACGCGGCCTTTGCTTGGCCAGGAACGGGGTGTCAAGAGCCTTGTTTTCTTGCGTTGTAAGCTTTTTGGCCATTCGACATCCGTGTGCAATGTGCGGTTGCCGAAAACAATGGGCCACGCCACGACACCCATAACCAAACGTGGTACTCAAAAAACTTTTGAGGGGCTGCTTCCTGTCGTTAGTGAATGTGGGGAGGGGCAGTCCCGATTGACAAAGTCCCCGCCGGTTCGCTTCGAAGGGCCGCAGGGCCTCGTTTTCACCCTTTTATGCGTGCGGCATCTCTTAATCGAAGGCCCAGGGGTTCCACATTGCCCACCAGCAGCGTTCCGCTTTGGTGCGGCGAAACCCCGGCATCTCCCATTTAGGAAAAAATATACGCGGATAGCAAACGCCAACGCGAGCAAGATGCGGGACACCATCGATGTGACAACGGAGAGACTCGTTGGCAGGGCGGTTTGAAACGTTTTGCCGAGCCCACGGGAAACCGATGAAAGAGGAGAGCGCAATAGCTTTCATCACCGCAAACGGTTTGGACCCATAGCCAATTTTACAGTAGGCACGAATGCTGAGGGTCGTGATATGTGAGGGCACAACGCCCATGGACATGCTGAGAATGGGATTGCAGGAGATGGCGGCGCATTCAGAGATTAAACCAGGACAGAGCATCATCATAGCACTAGAAGGGCTAGAGCATTTCAGTCGCGCACGAATTAGAAGGATCAAACAGCGTTCCGCTTGCCGCAGATCACAGCGATTCGATGGTCGGAAATCGTAACTTTGACGAAAACGAACTTTCTGCAGCTCGGGGGTCGGAGCTGTGATTTTGGATGGGGCCGAGGTTACAAAAACAGTTAAAATGGATCCCCATCAAGCCTCCCGCTTTATAAAAAAAGACGCAGGGCAAGGGCGCGTTTGCTCCCATACGACTGCCGGCCGCTTTGCGCCCATAAGAGTATCCCACACATTTGACAACCAACAACGTGGAACGTATTCTGGCTTCATATGGTGGCACTGCTCATTCGAACAAGTGCGGTGCATTGAGGCATGTGGCAGAATTGATTGAGGTCCACAGCATGAATCCGCACGCGATCACGCAGCTCGCAAAACATGTGAATCCGTTCGACCTCCCGCAGGAAATGGCTTGATATCTTGCCACCACACGGCATTGCTCACAAACGTTTCTTCGATGTTGGCGTTGATGTGATAAAGGTTTTTCATACTGGTTTCGAGTCTTGGATTCCTCCCGAAAAGGAAAAGATAAAAAGAGGTCATAGTACGATCATACATCTTCGGCATAAGCGCACACAAATTGCATCAGTAAACGAAGAAAGTAGAACCCCTCTACAGCCAGTTCAGGTAGCGGTACTTGATATTGGTTAGATTGTATCCTGCTTGGACGGGGAGTTTTTCTGTTGTTTCTAACACATTTGGTCTTCGCTCGGATTAAACCCATACTAGCGTCCGAGAAAAAATTCAAGAGTCATTCCCGTAACGGACGCGGCTCTTTTGCGAAATACGGAGGGTAATAACGGATGCCCCATCATTAGAAACAGGTTCCTAAGCCACGCCGTTTTCTGCCATTGAAGTAAAACCTCAGGAGAAACACCAAAGAAATGGATAGCACGGCCACGCGAGAAAAATAGCGCGACAACCCGACAGACGGTTTGTCACGTGGTGTTCCTTTGCCGGTGGTGGGCTTGGCGAAAGGGGGTTAAAATTGCAAAGGTGGGCGGAGTGGTCTAGAGAGGAAAAGGAACCTTAGAATCTGCCATTTCATAACTCTTCTCGGGATAGTCCTCCGGAAGAAAAGAGAATATCATGTTTAGTGTCTTTTCTTTATTCTTCATGTCAAAGACTGGTTGTGCAGAATGAATTCGCACCTCATAGATTTTTTTTCGTTTCTTTCTGTTAATTTGCCCAGCGGAGTTTGGCCAAAGTAGGAAGGATGTCTTATAAATAAAGATTAGAAAGGCTTAGTAATGTTTTTTACTACTGCAGGACTTATTATTATTCCTTGGTCTTTATGGGGGATATCATTGGTATTAAAAAGTGATG